AGACGAAGTTTTTTCGCGAAAATCAGGTGTCTTACACATCTGTGCTTCGTAGCTATTCTCCGAAAGTGGAACATTGAAAATTGAAGTTATTTGTAAAACACACACGTAACTCCTTTTTCGTCCACGGTCAGGGGTGCCCAGAAGGGGCAGGTTGCGCCATCAACATTTTTGAGGGGAGCATATTTTGACGGGTTTTTATTAATTTTTAAGGGGACAAATTTCGACGGCGTTATAAACTTTCGGACAAAGGGACAAGAGGAAAACATGCAACAGACCTCTTTTTTTTTAAGAAAAGGTGAATAATAAAATATCTTGGATATAATGACATGAAAACACTTGCTGAGTAACTACCCAATGGTAGCACTCTACTTTATCTTATATGATTTTTATTTTTGTTTTTTTAATCATTGATTTCAAACCTTGGTATTCAAATCCTGGATATAGTCCAGCGGTCGGGGAGGATCTCAGCATCGAAGTGTCGATAATTCCATAATACCATATGTCCTGTGTGCTAATATAACATAAATATGGTTACGTCCTTCTTCACAGCTATGAGCAGTATATTAATACCGGACTAGCATATTCTAGCCCACAAACCCCACTTTTCTTTTCTTTTAACCATTCTTCCACCTGCAGCTGCATCTGCAGCTTGTCTTAACTTCCTTCTCTTCTTCTCAGATTAAAATGTGTAGGGCCTACCGCATCTTTCCATCCGTATACGAATTCTCTATAATGTGGGTAATTCTCTCTGCTCATTAGCTGGGGAACATGCTCTCTGTCAGTGTATATATCCCCGTCTCTCTCAGGAGCTTAGCTCTTAGTGCCTCATAGGCAGTACATTCGACGACCACATGTTCGGCGGTCTCCGGAACGTTGCAGTTGGGGCATAGCGGATCAATATTCTTCCCGTGTTTAACGAGCTTCGCTCGGAAGCCCCCATGTCCCGTGAGGAGTTGAGACACCCAGTAATCCGGGAGGATCCATCTTGCATCTAATCGTGACTTGACCGTGTGGAAGTACTTTCTTAGGTAGCTCCCTTCGGAATTGCCATCCATCGCCGGTTCCATTGATCAACAGTGTCCTCTCTGATAATTTTTTTCCATCTTCATGGGTCTTCTTCAATTCTCATCTTTAGATGCTCTGGTAGATCCGCCGAACCTTCTCTTTTCATTTTAAAGAGATAATAGTCTTCTTGCAGGACGAGATCGAGAGGTGTCCCCCTGCCAGTACTTGCACTGTCTCATGAGATATCGTTCTATAGGCTCTAGTAGCCCGAAGTAAAGCCAATCTTTATATCGACGCTAGTCTACTCTTCTGTCGGTGTGAGAGGTTTAGGTTCCAGGCTGGGGACGCATATCTCAGAATACCCAAAACTACTCTTTTGTATATAGTCATTGTAGCTAGGTATCTGAGACCCCACAAGGTGCCTCCGACACGACTGAATCCATTTAGGGCCACTGTGACTCTAGTTCTCATATAGTCCTGGTAAGGAGTCACGTTGAACTTTCGACCAATTTTAAAACCAAGGTAGGTGACAACCTCACTTGGACTTATCCTTTCTTTTTCTATACTCAAAATACTATAATGTGCCCTGTCAATCGTACCCCTCAAGAGAATTGCCTGGGTCTTTGTTGCAGCCATCTTTAACTTCTTCATCTATCACCATCTTCCTACCAAACTGGCGCATCGTTCAGCCTCTGCTTTCATGCCGGCTATGCTGTTTGAGGCCAAATCGTTAACATAGGCCGTGGCAGGGAACCGTTCCTCTTCGCGCTTTTCCAGCAACTCGTCAAAGACTAGCTTTCACAAGGCAGGTGTCTGAACAGATGCCTCCGGGCAGCCCCTCTCGACGGTATCTTATACTTCAAAAAATCTGCCCTTAATTTTCAATGTCCGGTCCTGGAGGTAGCTTCTCACTAGTTCATACAGGTTACTGGGAGTTTCATACTTCTGGAGTTGCTGGAGAACACTCGGCCACCACACGATATCAAATGCAGAGGATATGTCGAACAGGAGAAGCATAACATACCTCTCCGCTCTTTCTTCTACGTCATGACGTACTCGCAGTATGGCATCTGCGGTTCCCTTGCCTTTAGTGGATCCATATTGCCGTGGATGGCTCGATCTTGATAAGACTGGCCGAAGGCTCAAGAACACCAGGTTTTCCAATACCTTTCTCATTATAGGAAGGAGACAAGTGGACCTGTATGAATTGGCAAGTTGCTTGTCCTTGTCTCTTCCTTTGTAGAAGAGTCTGACATCAGCAATTTTCCAGCTTCTTGGAAAGTATAACCTATCTAGGCAGTCGATGAAAACCGCAAGCAGCCTACTCTCTAGATAGGGAATACTATTCTTGAGCATTGCCGCATCAATCGCATCTAAACCTGGGGTCCGGCCAGTCTTTTGCCTTTCCACGGCACTATGGACTTCCCAAATGTCCCATGATGAACACAGGTCCGACCCAGGTGGGTATACCGTGGCTCTTCTCACAAATGTGTGGTCATTATCATCCTGTGATGGATCATCCCTGGGAGGTCTCTTTAATAAACATCTTTGCTGTTTCCTCCAGAGTGGCTGCCTGAGTACCCCCTTGCTTCAGGGCTGCAATGGCTTGCTGTGGCGTCAGTTTTCCAAGAGCCACCCTGTATGGGATACCCCAGGGATTCTATGCTGACTCTTCCTGGATGAATTCAACCCATGATCTTCGTTTCTGTGAGCGCACCTCATTCCGATATACCCCAGCCTCTCTCTTATACCCTATCTTCTCTCTTCAGTGTGGTTAAGACCGGCGACCACCATGGGACATGCCGATTTCTTGCTTTGCGCTGGAGGAATTCTTCCGCGGCATCCCTAATGACTTCGGTAATCCTGGATACCTTGTAATCTAGCGATTGAGTTAGCAATTATTATTGCAGCTATAGGCCTCCTTTCTTCACTCCCTAGAGCAATAACTCTCGATGTAAGACCAAATCCTACAACCTTACTCCCACGGTAGCTCGGTTCTTGAACCGCCATGATATAGTAGTGTTGAGCGAGAGCTCGCAGTTCATCTGCTACAATATGCCGTCGGCTCATATTCAGCTGAATAATGAAGATTCTATTCATACTGGGTTTTTCACGCGATCTCTTGGGTCCTCTTGATGTTTGCTGGGCAGTTTCGGTCTCCTGCCTTGTGTTTGGCCAGGTTTGATGTAGCTCTTTCACCAAAACAATTTTGGGTCTGCTCTTTCCTTCTTCCTTGGGCACACCTTTGCTATGTGGCCAGTAGCCGCGCACCAACTACAAATCTCGTCCTCGAGAGTACATGACGCTATAGTGTGGCATTACCCCTAGCACTTTGCGCAGGAGGATGCATCCACGAAATCCCTGAAGGTCATCGCCCACCATCCGCCATCGATGGTTCCCACTTCCAATAGGTGGAATCGGATGATTAGGTGGACCTGAACAACCCAGGTCCTTGTTAAGCCACCTTTTTTTTTTTTTTTTTTTTTTTTCCTTCTTTCCCCCCGCTGTACCTTAGGGCAACCCTATACCAGCGGTACATCCAATTTTCTAACTGAAAAATATGCCACGAATTTAAAGGGCTCGGTTACCAGGATTGGTAACCAAGCGGGCAGGTCTGCTCTCACTTTGATCCAAATTCTTGGGTCAAAGTGAGGCAAAATTCGGTCTTATAGTTTGATTGGGGCATTAATTATTACGGGTAAACCTACACTAATGGGCTGCCTGCAACTGGAGGGCTGTTCCCCACCAAACAGGACTCCAGTAACTTTCTACCTACTTATTGTGGGCCTATTACTAAGTTTATATATACTATTTCTAAATCTTATGATAACAATAAATTTATGTATTTGGTATATCACCGGTTTAATCTTTCCTCTCTTGCTATTTTTTCATGGAATATCCTCCTGGCGTATTTCTTAAAGGCATCAAATATCTCAGGTGTCTCCACAAGCTTGTCCAGGGACCGAGGAGGCCATTCCAACATGGAGTACTCTCCTGCCAATGCTTGTCGGGCGCCAGTGTAGATTGGACATTCCAAAATCATGTGTCTAGCATTCTCAACAGCCCCGCAGTGACAATTCGGACTGGCTCTTCTATGAAAAAAATGTAATTTTTCATTTATATCTCCATGGCCTGTGAGGAGGTGAACAGTCCAGAAATCCGTCTCCACCCAGTCATTCTTGATTCTTCTCCTGACATCTGGGAAGAACTCATGGGTCAGTCTTCCAGTCTCGCATGCATCCCACCTTCTCTGCCATTCAGAAAGGACTAGTTCTTCTATTCTGTCGGCTACCTCGTCGTACCTTCCACTAGGGCACACAAAACAGCTTGTTCCCACATTTGCTGGCACTCCTCTCTTTATTCTATATTTGGCTATAAATATTTGTATTTTCAGGTCTATAGGCAATTGTCCTGTAATCACTTGCAAAGCCGAAGTGGGTGCCGTTCTATACGCTCCTGTCACCAGTAGGAGAGATCTTATTTGAGCTTGCTCCAGCACTCTGATGTTTAATGTCCCAATGCACCTTTAATGTCCCATAAGGTGTAAATATTATCTCGTACCCTAGATGTGACATGACCTTCTTCAATTTTATTATGGATGCCGTGATTTTACTGGTTGCAAAAACTGCTTTCTCCCAATTTTTGCTCTAAAAAAATTGCCACCGCAAGCCAGTGCCTAATCTGACTGTGCGCAAAACCACCGTTGCGATTAAATGTTGTCTCAAGATTTGGATATGAATAATTGACGATTTTGTCTGTCATAACGACTAAAATGTTTAATAAGGAAAGCTTTCGTTTTAAAGGTTTTTGAATTAATATTTTCATAAAATACAACCCATGTTTTTTCTCAGTTCCAATATTTTATTTCTAATCCTGTATTTCAGTTATTACAAATTGAAGCTATTAGAAGTTTAGTACTTTGTAGCTATATGTCTTTTCAATTAAGCTACATTTGTTGTCAGAAGAATTGAATACTTCTTAGTCCTCACCTACATCTGTAGCTCTTTGACTTGATGGAAGGTTACACAGGAAAGAGTAATGTTTGACAGCGCTAATAGCTCCGGTTTGATTGGGGATAGTTTATTCAGTTGACGAAATTCGCTATATTATAAAATGAGTGATCGCGATTATGCTCCCCTAAGTTTAGCTTGTGTCAGAGCTTTAATCGACAAGCAGTATGATAAACGGAAAGCTGCGGCTTCAGAAATTGAGAAGTAAAGTTTTTCTTTATTTATTGACTGATAATGGTTTTATATGTTTATCATCTGTTATACAATAATACACCTATGCTGGTTTAAATTTTTTTTCATTCAAATAATTTTATCGTTTGAAATTGATTACTTGGACTTCATGCTCTATTTTTTTATTGGATATTGGTTTAAATATATAGCTCATAATAGATGCTGGATTATTCTTTATGGGCCTTTTATTGATAATGCAGTACTTTCTCTAATCAGAAAGCTATAGAACCCAACACCTGTCATATTTTAAAGTTTTCATACTATTGATATTTAGAACATAGTATGTGCTTTATAAACTTAACACAGACATGAAAAATCAAAATGAGATATATATAACAAAGAAGTTGTAAGGTTTGGAACTATAACTTATTGTTGGTTTAAAAGAATGTTATTCACAAGTATTAAGATTGGTTGACAGTTGGTTCAAGATCACATTGATTATTATATAGATAGATAGTAGTATTTGAGTTAGTATAGTAGTTAAATGTTGATAATTGTGTTCACAGGCGAGCTTCCTATGCTTGCTCAAAACGTAAAAGAACTCCCAACTCATCCTTTTTTTCAGTTGAAATTGGGACAATATTGATGGACATATTGGTCACCTATATTTAGGTTTGAAAACACTCAGCTACTTTTAGAACTCTACTTACATTTGGTCGATGTGATCTTGACCTATCTGTCAACCAGACCTGGCATTTGTGAATTAGTCCCATAAGGTTCACGTGTGATTTGTATTCATTATCGTTCGGCATTGAGATTTTGTCAAAATTAAGTCCTCTCTTCTCAGCACATCATAGGATTCTAAACTCACGTCAAAGAGAGTTTTTTGTAGCAAGTTTTTCTGTTTTAAAAAGGTGTGAACTGGAAACTCAAATCATTTATTGAATGACTCTTGAAAGATTTCTTACATAATTCATGTTCGAGATTGGTTCATATAATAAATGAGAAAACTCTTCATTTTAATCTTTTTGAATGCTCCTGAACGTTTGGTTTACCTACTTTTAGAAACATTAATTTGATTTACTTAAAGTATTTGAACTAACTGTGACTGTAATTTCTTTTTTTTTTATTTGGTAATTTTCCATATGACAAATATTTTTCATGAGCAATTGTAAAGATCTTTGTTGGGACCTGTTGCCGATTGCCAGTGTCATCCAAGTTGAAATTTAGTAAAGTATTTGTCTGAAATTTTAAAGTCTGATGACATTTTAAAATTTGATAGATCAGTTTCATCTGCACATTTTGTATGAATCAGTGCTTGAAACGGAAAAAAACATTTATTGTTAAAAAGAATCAGTGTCACCGGAATTTTTATTGTTAATAGTTTTTCAGTTCTTTTGAAATTACTCATTTTTATTTAACAAAACTTTTTTTAAGAACTTGAATAAATACAAATTAAACTTTAACCATAATCCTGAAACTTAATTACCAAAAAGTTTCTTAGAACTTTCATTTTAAAAACTTTTTTCGGTACTTGTTGACTTGCAGGCCGGCACAAAACCTCACTTCTTATCTATCTTATCTAGCGTCACGTCACATAACCTCCCTCTTCTTATCTATCTGTGTTCATTTTTCATTTTTTTTCTCGTTTATTTTCGTCATATTATGAATCTTCTTAGAATATGGGATTTGCCGTATTCACCAAAGACAATATAGAAGAGGGAACGACCATTTATTCGGACTGTTGGAAAGGATACAACACCCGACAACTGAACGAAGCAAACTATGACCATTTCCAAGTGAATCACTGGTATAATTTTGTCGATCCATCAACTGGGGTTCATACTCAACAAATGATAGAATGATTATGGGGCTCAGCAAAGTGGATAAATAAAATACATAGAGGAACTGCCAGATAACACCTCGATTCATATTTGTGCGAATTTTTTTTGTGGCGGCGGGTTCACAGAGAAGAGGACCCGTTCCTCGCTATTTTAAATAGCATAAAACAATAATAAATAATAAATAAAACAAAGTGAAAATAAATTGTACATATGTTGTTTATAGTGTTGATATTTTTTCTGTTCTATGTAAATATGTTCTTTAAATGTTTTTTTATTATTTCATTTTCATCTTTTATATCTACATATGTTCTTCAAGTGTTTTTTTTTTAGTGTTTTTTTATTATTTCATTTTGATCTTTTATATGTACATATCTTCTTAAAGTGTTTTTTTTTTATTATTTCATTAATATTTGTGTCGTAAAATAAAAGTATTTTTTTTGTTATTACATTTGTTTTTGTATCTATTTACACTTTCAATAATACGAATATAATACAATAATACGAAGATAGGAAGTAGGAGAAGGCTTATCACTGCCTTATCGGAATTATCAGTGTTCAGGTTATAAACATTGGCAGATAGCAGTCAGTGCCGTCCTGCTAGTCAAGAAGTACCCTTTTTTCCTCGAAAGTTTCACAGATACTGTTAAAATATAACTTTTTAAAAAATTTCAACCCCAAGTATGAATATAAGGCTTTAAGTTTTGCATTTATCTGGCCAACCTTCACTGGCTCTAAAAGTTTCTGTTGACATCCTAATTATTTAATTTTTTTTCCTTTAAAATGTTACCAGGAATTAGAGCATGTCTTGATATCTGCTGTTGAAACCAAAATATACGAACTTCTTTAACTTTAGGAAATTCATCATTCTCCAAAGTTTTATTTTCATCAGGATCACTGCTAAAAACAGATTTATTGAAATTTTCAATTCTTTCGCAATTACTTAAAACAATATAAATTCGTGATCTGACAAGATAAAAGATTTTAGAAAGGAGAATTAGAGTATCCCCATTATCATATCATTTTTTTATATATTATTTGCGACATAAAGTTGCATGTTTAGTTTGTTTGTGTGGATCAGATATTATCATACTGAATCAAGTTACTATACTGAACACATTTAACTCTCAACTAACTCACATTATGGTCTATTCTCTTATACAAATGTATAGCAGAAAAATACATTCTTATACAAATGTAAAGGAGAAAAATACTTCGAGCTGGAGCATGTCAAAAATACAAATCATGTACTGAAAGGAGGAAGATTTAAAATTTTAACAAGAAATAATATGTCGTCATTAAGTTATTATATTCAATGTGACCATATGTCCCACTTTTGACAGGTCAGTCCTACTTGACTGTCATGACTGCTTTGAGTAATAGCTTTAATACCTTTGCTAATAAATAATGGACTGCTTAAGATTTTCTTCTTTTTTTTTTAAGTGAAAACTTCTTTGGGCACGTTTTTCACTTTTTTGTGGAGAGTAGTGAATTAAATTGATCCGTCAAATTTCCGAAGTATTAACGCTCGGGTAAAATCAGCTAGAGTCAACTAATTGTAATGTTTTTACATATGGATTAAAATATCTCAGAAACTAAAAATCGGGCCTGCATACAGTAAGCAAGAAAATTGTTGAGCATTTTATCCTCTCTGTAATAGGCTATGATTCAAAATTGTATCATAACGCAACGCCATATTAGTGAGGAGAAAAGGAAAAATTAGTGTCGAAAACCAAATGAAAACGAGGTTAGTTGAACATATGGATTACAATATTTCAGATACTAAAAATCGGACCAGTATACTGTAAGCGAGGGAAATGTTCAGCATTTCATTTTCTTTCATAATTTATATTTCATATTACTAATCTTGTCTTGTTGATGTTTTCACTTATATCTTGTGGTCTAAAGCACACACCTGAGTTTTTTTTTTGTTTTTTTTTATTGTTATAGGGTATATAAAAAAAAAAATTATTGTTTTAAAACCAGATATTTCTATTATTATTTCTTTAATATAAAATACAATTAATACTCATAGTGAAGTCCATTGTTATCTACCATCATAAGCCATCTGCAAGCCAATGGCTTGATCCCATGCTGATACCATTCTTTGGGATGGTTGTCAAAGAACTCAACCACAATTTCAACTTCCATAAAATTATCAAATTTTTTCCAATGAAGAAAATGTGCTTTGGATCTAAATAAGTAGTAATCCGTGTTGCGTGGTCTGCACTATATGGTGGATGAGGCAGGTGCCTCATATCAGAAGGGTTTTTCAATAAATTTTCACAAATTTCTAACCTCTTAGCTTATTGCTGAGGATTAAGTTCGTGAGTGACCAGTATACTGCTCTTTTTCACCTTCCCCATGGAGATGAGGAAACTATGATAATGACTAACAGTATCTTTTGATACACCAGTCTTCCTGGCAAGTTTGCGAGTACTTGTGGACGGATTTGACTCAACAATTTCTGCAGAACCTCATCAATATCCTTAATGGTCGCCTGGAACCCTTCTTCCTTTCCAACGTTGGATCTCCACCACTAAATTTTTCAAACCAACACCGCTCAGTGCGCTGTTCAAGGACACCCTGCCCTTCATATTTAATAATTTCACAAGTTGTGTCAACGGTTGTGAAATTTTTTTTTCCAGTTATGTCTTAAAATGATGAGAATTTCTTAGGAAACTGTCATGTTATTTTTTTGAAACAAGTAACTAAACTGAGGCTTTTTTTGAAGAAGTCCTATGGGATTAAGCAAGCCTAGAGAATGCTCTAAGGAGATTATTAAGTATTGGTAAATATTAAATAGGATTATAATATTTACAGTCCTTTGAAAGCTTGAATTTGATAAAACGGTCATTTTTTTATATACACCCTATTAATGTTTGCTTTGTAGACTGTTTATTTATTTTTCAAATGAATATCTTAAACATTCCAGAAAAAGTATGCTATAAGTAATAAACAATTAAGGTTGTTTACTAGGGTTTTAGTTTTAAAAATTGTACATACAAAATTTGACCTGATTTCAATAATTTTTTTCTTACTACCAGTAGGAAAGTAGATAATATCTGTATAGATATTTTATATAAATAGCAATAGAGCTTTTAATTTTACAAAATTAATATAAAAAAAAAAGTTTTTGAATATCACTGAATTAGTTTTTCTATCCCTTCCCCAACTATCAGGGGTGTTCCACTGTAGGGAAGAAAACATTTCGTCAAAGTAATTATGTTACAACAAATGCTTTGGACTAGTTGTGTAGTCAGATTAGAGTGAGTCTACTGTACGAGTATTTTTATTGAATATGAAACCTATTTAGTCTAATTTAAAATCTATTAAAAGGATTGAAAATTAATTTATCTATTCTTTTATCTCAGAAATGATTCTCTTGTGTATAATTTAGTACCTTTTGTTTTTTCTTTTCTTTTTTCACATTTCATCTTCTACTTTAATTAGATATATTTGTATTTTCCATATTTTTTATTTTTTTATTTAATGGTTATGATATATTTTTAAGATTGTGAGGTTTGTTTTTTTCAGCTATCAGTCTGAGGGCATGCTATTTTTTAATGATTTATATTTACAGTGAAAAATGTTACATTGATATAATAATAACATATGATTTGCTAACAATCATAGAAATAAACTATTGATCAAATATTCAGTCACATAAACAATCTAATTAAATCGCTGTTTAAGCTAAATGTGTCTATGCATGCATGATTAAAATTGCAATTAATTACTAATTCTTCCTGAATAGAAATTTTTAGTTATATATGTATGAGTGTTTTTATTATTATCATTATTTTATTTATTTTTTATTTTTTTTTGTAGGATGGCTAAAGAATTTGTAGTTGTAAATAACACAGGTCAAATAAGAAAGCTGCTCAAGGTGCTAGGATATGAATTTACAATGTCCCAGAATCCTAATTTCCGTAAAGGTGGCTTGATAGGATTAGCTGCTGTTGCTATAGCCCTTGGAAAGGTAAAATTTTCTGATAAATTATATGTATTGATTTTATATATTTTTTTATGATTAATAAACCAGTATGCTATATTTTCACTGTTTCTTTCAGTTTTATGAACATTTATTATTTATGATGTTTTTAAATTTTATTTTCATTGGAATAACTGTTTACAAAATGCTATCTCATAGATTTTATAGTTAAATAAAAATTAAAAATAATATTGAAGATACCAATCAATGTCTATAAACTGACACTTTGTATTAAATTATTACTATCATTAATATTTAATTTTGAATTTTTATAGGATTCATCAGAATATGTAGAAGCACTAATAAGACCAATTTTAACCAACTTTTCTGACAATGACTCTAGAATAAGATACTATGCCTGTGAATCACTATACAATGTTGTTAAAGTTGCACGGGGATCAGTTTTACCTTACTTCACTGAAATATTTAAAAACCTTAGTAAGTTGGCTGCAGACCATGACCAAGCCGTTAAAAATGGATCTGAACATCTCGATAGACTTTTAAAGGTAATAAATGTTGTTTTTCTCTCTTATAGCTACAGTTGAGTTATTATACAATAAGATATAAAGATATTTTTTTATACTTGGATATAAGGCTATTGAAATTTAAATATTGTACTTAAAATAAAATTAAAAATGCACTGGAAACATTGAAATGCCTTTGGCTGGTCGAGAAGGATAGATTATAGGGATGCACACATATTAATGTACTTTAAAATATATACATTATAGATAAGAAGTCAAGACCAAGACAATTTACAATTCACAAACTGTAGCTTATCCGTCTGATTACATCTCTCTTTTGGCAACTATATCACAAATGTTGGAGTTGAGTGGTATATCTCTATGTCCAGCTGCCTTTTCACTGAATGTTTTTAGGATATAGGTACTTTCACCTCTCTGCTCGGCAATATGAAAAGGCCTTTCATACTTAGACACAAGTTAACTGTGTAAACCTTTACCACCAAAAGAGAATGGGTTGAAGTTGTAGTACAGCATCTCCTTTAAATTTATCTTATTTTTCTTAGGTTATAATACTTTGCTTGCCTCTCTAAACCTTTACATAATGCTAACTCTTCTACTTTTCCTATAATGTCTGAATTGGTAAAGCACTGATGGTGAATTGTTATCCTGTATTTTTTGGAGTTTCAAGGCTTTGTATTTGGAAACTTCTAATTATATACTTATTGCTAATGTGTTTTATTTCCAGGATATTGTTACAGAAAATGCAACTTTTGACTTAGTGGCATTTATGCCCCATTTGAGAGAACGTCTGTATTCTAAAAATACTTTTTCCAGACAGTACATAATTTCTTGGGTTTCTGTTCTTCATGCTGTTCCTGAAATAGAACTAATTTTATTTCTGCCTGATATCCTTGATGGACTTTTCAATATGTTAAGTGACCAAAATATTGAAATTAAAAAAATGTATGTTAATAATTACTAATTGATTATTGTTCTGTATGTTATGTCTTTCAGTATAGTTATATAGACTTATTTTAATGTTTAGGTGTGAAACAGTATTAAAAGAATTTTTAAGGAGTATCAATAAGGACCCTACTCGTGCTGATTTTAACTTAATGATAAATGTTCTAATTTTGCATGCGCAGATGCATGATGAATTACTGCAGGTAAATTATGTTAATAAATTATCATCATTAATATTTATTAATTGTAGTAATTTTTTTGTTATCAAAATTATTGGAAATTACTGATGTCATTATTTTATTTATTTTTAGTCATTAAATACTTACTTTATTTCCTATATAGATATTTAGTGATAAATATAGTTTATATATAGTAGATTAATATAGATAATTAGTGACAAAATTTCTATATTGATGAAATATTGATGTCGGTGATATTTGTAAATTTCTTTTAAATATGTTGAGCCAATATATATTCTTATTAAACTACTATCATCTATAGATTCATTTTAAATTATCCTTCAACTGATAGTTTTATTATCTGTTCACTGTAGATATATATTTTTACCATCAATTTATTCTTTAACATAAAGTAATCACACAGAAGTAAGAATATTATGATTTGTATCATTGTTTATATTACCTAGAGGTTGATGTTTTCCCTAATTATTAATTACAATTAGAGTATCTTTATTTTTATGAATAATTTTAAATTGAAGTGTGGAAATCCAAAAGGGTCAAAGTGCTTTCATTAGAATTTTCCAGCATTCAAATTACCTATGTGAATAGTATTTAAGAAGGAATATTACTTAATTAAAAAGAATAATTTTTCTTTGATCACCTATGATGTTACTAATAATAAAATAATATTTAAAATAGTGTGACATAGGCATAGACTTTTGATTCTGGTTGGGGGGAGGGCGATGGATGCCGCGAAAAAAGTCTCAGAAGTTTATTTTATATATAAAAATATAATAAAAATTATTAGTGACAGTTAACATAATCAACAATTATTGTAAAATGAATAATATGAAAATATTTTATTTATATAGATATATTGATTTTATTTATATATATATATATATATATATATATATATATATTATATATGTATATCTCCTACCCATGTCCATACATAGACTCCTAGTATCCACCCTCATCTTCCCCCACCTTGACTACGGCTGTGTAGTGTTCGGTGGCCTCTTATCATGAATGGCTTAGTAAGATTTGTCAATGGATTTCCCACTGCTATGCTGAGTTAAAATGGCTCTTCCCCTCCTTCAGAAGACAATATTTCCTAGGCACATTCCTTTACCAAATAATCTATAATCATCGCCTGTCCTACGCATACAATCTCCTTCAATTCAAGTTATCTATCCACTCCCTCTCCACAAGATCTCGTCCTTCTGACCTTTGTACCCCTTTCCACAAATCTGCCTCATTTAAACACTCCTTTATTGTCCGCTGCACCACTTTATGGAATTCCATCCCACTTAAAATTGCCATGCACCATCTCTTATTCCAATTCCTCCTTACAATTCAATCAGACGCTGGGTAGTTTTTTTTATTTCCCTGTGAGCCTCTGTATATATACATTTTTTTTTTCTTGCATATGGGTTATAGTTATATTTGAAAATATGTTAGCAAAGCAATTGAATATATTACATATTTTTATTTTTATTTAAAGGTTTGAAGCAGTGTTATGAAATTCTCTGATGCTTCACATTTGCTGTGGTAAATGTGATGAAATCTTCACATAAAAATGGAATAATGCTCATAAATAAATCAAACGCTAGGATATGTTGCTACATATAATTATCTTTTAATAAAAATTAAAATTTCAATAATAGGAACATAGGGCCTGATAAAATACATACATACCTACTTCAAGGCCTTAGCTTAGCCTTCTAATAAACTTTTTCTATTTTGTTAATTGATATTAGTTTAAATACTTTATTCTTTCATGCAGATTAATTGTTATTAATTTTGATTTTATATTTGTTCCTCGAAATATTGGGAGGGCGTATACGCCTATGGTGTGTGACTTGGCACATTGATCTGTGATATGAAAAAAAAAAGGTATGATTTCAATAAGGCACTTAATGCTTTTGATCTTCTACACTTCAATAATTATGGATCTTTCATTAAGTTAAGTTTATTAATTTAAAAAAATAGGTGTATTATTGTTATTTGCAATGTTTTTGGTTGTCTGCAGATGAATGATCCTAAAACAGCATCTATTATATGATATATTTCTATTAATTTCAGATGAGAATATTAATATTTAACTAATAAGAAGACTTCATACCATCTCCCTCCACCCTCCTCCTATGATTACTAAGTTGTTACTGAGTAACTTCTCAAAACTTCATCTATGAAGTTAATAGCTGGTCCATTGTTTAAAAATTAATAAAAACTAATTTTAATTTAAAAGTCTATCTAGTAAATCCAAATTTATTAAGAATACTCATAGATTAAATTTAGGAAATCGAATATTCACTTCTGATATGTAAGAAATACATTAACCAAATATGACTTAGGGGTTGCTATTTAAAATACTTTACTCAATGTTAATTTTTCACATTTGTAATTGCCAAATTAAAAATCTATGTTAATATATAAGATATTACGCTTTACGCCTTGGCACCATTTAAAAAATAAGTGGGGTATATAGTTATATAGCAACCTTCTGCATATTCATTTTTGACTAAAGAAGTTTTTTTACTCCTTACAAAATTCTTTGTACAATATATTTTTTTTATTATAGTACACATCTTTAACATGGATACATGACTTCATATGTCTCTCCAAAAAAGTTATGTTGCCTTATACATCTGGGATACTATCTGCAATTCTTCCTTGCCTTGCTTACGAAGGAGAATCAAAGAAACGTAATAATAAGGTTTATTCTAATATTTAAGTTTTGAAAAGTAATTATAGTGTTAATTTATTAAACCATTAAAATATAACCCCTCTGTAAAAATATTCACGTTTCTTCTTTGCATCTAGAATTCTTTCCAATTAAGCCATTGTATCTTGAGTAAATATATTATGTTTGTAATTCTAAATGCCAAAAAATAAGTATTTTTTTCTCAAACAATATTTAACTCAACTTATGTGTCATTCAAAGTTATTTTTTGATATCTTTTCGAAATTCAAGTGATCAAGAATTGACTCACGATTTTAATTAATTAAAATTAACATTTACTGGTAGACTCTTTAAATGCTTAACTTATTTCATTTACTGTTTTACAGGTTTAAAAGAAGTCGCTGAGAAAGTTAATACACTTTTAATGGGTCTAATTGACACTTCTATTGATACAGCTGAAGAAGAGGTATGTTTAGTTATTTATTTTATCTTCCTTTTAGTAAAATACGAATTTTTAAATAACAACTTCTTCAATTATTTCACCATATTCACATTTCTTTGCAATTTATTTATTTGATTACGAAGTTATTTTGGTATGGTCTGGAAATCATAATCAAATAATAAATTATTTTTTTAAAATTATTTTAATGGAATTTACAACTGTATTACATAGAAAATACAATAAGTAAATGTGAAATTGGTAACATGACATGTACAACATGAAGAGAAACTACCCATTGGTAGAACTCAAATTAAGGTTCTATATTAGAAGATCCCGAGGCCATCTTCTTTTCAGACGCCTCGGAGGGTTATCAGGGATCGAGGAGGAAGCAAGGTTTGAAATGAGAGGATTCGGATGGTTCTGCAGTTTGTTAAATAATAAATTTAAAAAAAAAAATAATCTGGCATTTTTATTTTATCTATATCTCAAACATTATCAATAGGAATGTTGTTCTTGATTAATGTTTACTATACACAGTCTTGACACCTTTTCATAAATCATCTCATTGTCTGATAGAAAGAGATCATGATATTCCTGTTTTAATTGAAGATTATAAAGAAGATAATGAACTTTTCATATGAAATAAAAGAATTCTTTATTATTCTGGGACAGTCACCTAAGAATAAAATTCACATTGCATTAAACAGTGGCCAGGACAGTGTGGCCTGACTCATTGACGTAAATTTAAAAAAAAAAAAATAGCGTAAATGAAAATAAATTTTTATATTAAGTAAAATAAAAATGCTTTAAAAGTAGATAACAGAAATAAAATAAAATAAGCTAAATGAAAATGAAAACAGTAATAAGTATGTTAAGTAGAAACTTAAGCACTAAAATGAGCTCTGGGAAACGTTTAATGATTAGAAAAGTGAATTTAATATTAATTAGATAGAGAGGAAAAGGTGATTGAGAGGAGCGCTTTAAACAAGGAAAGTGTTGAAGCATAGCGGATGGTAGATGGGATAGAGTTCCTGAAAGAGACAGTTTTGGTGAGGAAGAATTTGTCAAACGCCACAGTTCAATCAGGAGGATAGTATAAATCAGAAGGGCGAGATTGGATGGGAAGAGAATTGATGGATGATTTCAATTGCAGTCTCTGTAGTGTGTAGGATGGGCCCTGAGTTTTGATATAGGAAGGATGCAAGAAAAAACTAACACCTGTGAGATGGATAAAGCCACTTTAGCTTGACATAATACTGTGTTATCCGCGTATTTCTGGCGACCCCGAAAAAAAAAATCTGACTAAGCAATTCATAAGCTGTTTAATTCTTGATTCAAGATCGTCTGAGAGTCCACCCTACACCACACAGCCGTAATCAAAGTGGGGGAACACAAAGGATAAAATCAGGAGTTGTCAGGTTTTACGTGGGAGAAGGTGTAACGTAAGCGATTAAATTCTTTGGGTGTGGCATGAGATTTGGGAGATTTATTGTTTCCATGAGAGGGTTTGATCAAAGATGACTTCAAAGTTTTTAATTGAGGATTGAAATGAGGTAGGAATGTTGTTCAGGATAAGGCTGTCCTGGGATGGATTTAAGGAGAGAAGAAGAACCATCATGATGGCGTTGATCTTCTGGGCATGACTTTTATTCTATTGTTGATGCAAATATACTATGTATTTCTCAACTTTGGACCTTATATTGTCAGCTTTTATACTCCACATAATTGTTTTTAATGAATAAATAGGTAATCTTTTTGTTTGTTTTCAATTAGGAATGTTAATATAGAGGACAATAACCCTTAATCCTTAATTCAATGAAATGATTCTAGATTCCAATGTTTACTTTCTATGGAATCAAAATGTTTATTCACTATCATTTGTTCAGTGCCGTTTCTTGCAGCTCATTTCTTAGTCTCCGGCTTTTAATTTTTTCAATATTAAGTTTTAAAATGCTTCTTAGTGCTGAGGAGGTTGCGCGTGGTGTGGCACTTATTGATGATGGATGTTCCATTAGATATGATCCATTGGAGTTCCATATGAAACTTTACGAGACGCCGGCAGGCGTTTTCGGGAAACTGGTTCTTACAATAGAAGGCCCGGTTCTGGACGGCCTAGGGTAACAGAACCACGGGATGACCGGTTTTTGACTTTGAGAATTTTACGAAACCACCACCTTACCGTTGTTCAAGAGATTCATCAGCTCGAAGAAGTTTGAGGTGTGCAAATTTCTGAACCTACCGCTCGGAGAAGATTAAATGAGTATGGATTAATGGCTTTTTGTCCAGTAAGAGGACCAGAGTTGACCAGAACTCACAGAGTAACACGGCTATATTCATGTGAATATAGACTTTCAAGGATTAAAAAACTTCTATAATGTTTAAATATTTTTACTAGTTTTGTCGAGATTAATTAGTCTACATACCCAATATTCAAGAAATTTAGTTTTTGATAATAAATTAAAAGCACAGTACTTCCTTAAAAACAAAATATGTTAGCTACCCTAATTTAATACAAGGAAATGATTTTAGTTGAGTTAAGTCCATATTTAATGGGTATATGTCATATACACATATTCAATCCAGTAATTAACCTTTGTATAAGACATTAACCCAACAAAAATACCTTCCTCTCAGCTTTAATCCATAAGACTGCCAACAAGCATAACTTCAGTCAGGTCATTATAGCTTCTTAAGAATAAAATTTTCTTTTGATTATTACCTAAGCTACATCTAAAAGTAAAATAAAATCATTGTGAAGATTTATCTATGTCAAATTTCATTTCAGGATAACCAGCAATTGGATCTTCATTCCGTTCTTGAAGTATTAACTAAACAATCAATCCATACATCAGTTAAAACTATTATTGCATCATTAAAATGGATTTATCACCTTCATACTGGCATTCCTATAAAAGTAAGTTATCTCATTACATAATATGGAAAGCTAAACCTACTTAACTTTAGCCAATCAGTTGGAAGTATAAGCTTGGCAAAAGTTTCCTTAAAGCTAAATTTTTATAATACTCCCAAAGTTTTTGAAAAATGTGCAGTCCATGCACAACACAAGTTTCATTTACCACCCAAATTTGAATATAAATAGATATTTTCATGTACAGGGAAGTGAAAGTAAAAATTATTGACAGAATAACTTATTTATTTAAAGCAATTAATTACCATCTATGTTCCCAATACATCTAATCGTTTAAATTTTTGTAATTTTAATCACTGTCTATTTCTTTCTACTACTCCATAAATTATTTTAGCCTGAGGAAGGTGTCTTATCAAATAAAGTTTGGGCTTATAACTATATTATTATGTTCTTCCTCAGTCTCTCAACTAGGCAAGATGGTTTTATGTATTTTTGCAAGCACACGACAGCGAGATGTGATAAAAACACCTTGACATGTTCTATCCCTATGTGTCTAACTATTTTTCATGGCAAATTCCTAAATGCAGACGAGTGTGAGTTTGAAAGACTAAGGGTATCAAGAAAAAATTGGGCATGACCCAATTGTGAAAAGGCCTGAAAAAATATCCAACTGAGTGATAAGGCCTCTAGCCCTCCAAAATCGGCTCCACAGCAACCAATTGTCAACTCCATATTCCAGATGCTATTGTCCACGATTAAAGACCTTACAGCAGAGATCAAGGCATTAAAATTATCTTTCAATGTTAATGCTAACAAGGTCTTCTTCTTCTTCTCTAGCTTCTCCCTTTTGTGCCTCTCAGCTTAAGGAGGTGAGCAACCACGAACTCCACTCTTCTCTCTTCTTTGCTAGGTTCCTGTCTCGACAGAGATCTTTGCCTCTTCCTTTGCAGAGTCTATCAATGTACTCCAGATACAACATTCTTGGGTCTCCTCGAGATCTTTTGCTATCCGAGGCGTAGTCCAACGTCTTCAATGGATCCCTATGTTCCTTCATCCTAATCACATGGCCAAACCATTTCCGTTGGCGGATTTGCAGAACCTCCTTCAATGAGGTGATCCCCAGCTACTGGCGTATACTTTCGTTACTAACCCATGCCCTCCTAGTCTTACCTACTGTTCTTCATAGATATTTCATTTCAGCAGCAGTGACTGCTTTGTTGCCTGTCTGTCAATATCCAGCTTTCAGCTCCATATAGAAGTATTGGCAGGATTTAAATATATGGAGCTTAACATTCTTGTCTACCTCTCGCTTTCCTACAACGGTGTTGCAAATCTGGTAGTAGACTGCATTTGCTTTGCTTATTCTGTTGGATATTTCTGAGTCCACTTTCGCCGATCTTTCTATGACAGTTTCTAGGTAGGTAAAGTCTGAGACCACTTCTAATTGCTCTCCATTACAGTGTACATGCGTCTCTTCATTTTGCCTTCCTACTTGTAGTACCTTACTTTTGCTGGTATTGATCTGCATTCCTTTTCGGTAGAGTTCCTCATACCATTCAGTCACCGCCTGCTGCAACTTTTCAGCTGAATCAGCGACAAGGACATCATCGTCATGTAGCAGAAATTGTATCACCACCGGACATAGGTTTCTTCTCCCCAGGAACGTCCTTTCTGTTCTTTTACAGATGGTCGTCTCATCCATATAAATTAGAAATAGTAATGGGCTCAAACTATCTCCTTGTTTGGCGTACCTTGCCATGTCAAAGCAACCCGTTCAGCCTAACAACTCCCTTTGGGTGTTGATAAATGGACTTTACAGCCTCCACTAAATTCCTTGGGATGTTTTTAGCTCTAATAGCCTCCCATATTTCATGCCTGGTAACCATGTCAAATGCTGCTTTCAGGTCAAGGAAAGCTAAGTACATGTTTTTATCTCGGTCCCAAGATTTCTGTAGAACATTTCTTATGGAGAATATATGATCCTAAGTTTGCCATCCTGGTCTAAATCCAGCTTACTCTTCCTCAATAAGTTGTTTGACTAAGGGACTTAATCTTCCTTCCAGAACAGTCATATACTTATCAGTTGAAATCTTCTTCTCTTCCCAGGGTTTTTTATAGAGTACTTGTAGAGCTTTCACCATCTCGGAGCCACCATATTTCACAAATTCTACCATTATGTTATCTTGCCCTGGCGGTTTTCCATTCTTCATTCTTGAAATAGCTCTTTCTATTTCATCCTCTTCTATCGCCTCGTCAGACTCAACCTCATTCCATTGTCCTTCTGGGTTCACTGGGTACATATCATCTACACCAAATTGATAGTCTCCAAATCCAAATCAGTAGTCTCTCTATTTCTGCACCTCTAATAACTTTCACATTTGTGAAATACCTCCTGATGTCATGGCTATAAATAAAATAGTCTATGACACTATTGGCGCCTCTCTCAGTGGCGGAGAAAGTTATTGGATCCACTTGTGAGGGAAGAATGAGTTTCCTAGAAGCAGATCATTCTTAATGCGCTCTCCACCATGTGAGCCCATCACTCCATAATCTTCAGTAGTCATTGCCCGTTATCGCGAGATCTTCTGACCGGCCACCTGATTCTCATCGGAGGTGTGCTGAGCATAGCTGAGTCAGCTTCCTAAACAGAACCAAAGGTGTTCAATGAGAGTCCAGTCTGCTTGGTTTTAGCCTCAACCGCTCTACTAGGGAAACTGAGCGCAGTTGAGCAGCGTAGCAAGGGTTAGTTTTGATCGACCGGGGTTCGTTTTTGGATGCTGACTCTGCATCGCTCAGCTTCCCTCACCACACCTATTCACCACTGTCACACAACCGTACAGCTTTGTTCCTCTGTGTCATCCTTTTTTTCTTCTCATTTTCACTGTACAACCTCTCAAATTATTTTATTTTGGTTCAGTATAAAATATGCTATGGATGTGGAAGAATTCTTAATCGAATATGTAAGAGAATATATTCTATTTTATATTATAAAATATTCTATAAGAAATATTCAATTTCTCTCTTCAGCTCCAACATGATCATCTTTGCTAATCTTTTAAAATATTATATATATGCTATATATATATATACTTTTTTTAAAATTTTATCTGCTTGTTTTCACTGTACAGCCTCTCAAATTATTTTATTTTTGTTCAGTGTAAAATATGCTATGGATGTGGAAGAATTCTTAATCGAATGTCTAAGGGAAAATATTCTATTTTATACACAAATATTCGATTTTTCTTTTCAACTCCGACATGATTAACTTGCTATTTTTTAAAAATGTTATATATACTATTTAGAAATATTATACGGAATATGAAAGGGTACTGATGCAAGGCAAGTTGCTGACTGAGTTGAGCACTGCTTCGCAATCAGTTGTTGACACCCTCTTGCTATGCTCAGCTCAGCTGCGCTTTCGGTGGCCGGTCAGCCTTAAGATGCTTCTGTTGCTGTTCCAAACATGTGGGCGTGAAACGTTGGCAAAAATAAAAAAATTTTAAAAAAGACTGCGTCCTGAATATTTATCACCCCTTTTTATGTTTTGTTTAACGAATTCGCAAAGTACAGTATTTTTCAGTTATTGATTATTGATCGAATATTGATTAAAAAACCCTCTCTTTATTTTTTTATCCTTTCTGAATATTATAAAAACAGATCATCTATCGTTAATTTATATGTATTTTTTATTGTAATATAAAAAATCTGGTGCGCGCAACACACAACTTTCACTTACTCTTTGAACTTTGAATAAAAATTATTTTCTGGCCATGTTAGGCTATTATAAAATGTTTTGAATTGCATTTTAAACTGAGCTAAAGCTAAAAAAACACAAATGCTATTAAAATAACAAAAGTCCTATTTATTATATCACCGGTTGATTATGGATTGTACGATTCGTTGATTATGGATTGTTCGATCCATCGATTATGGATTGTACGACTATAAGTCATTAAACTGTTATTTTCCATTGCAAAGTTTATTAAAACGGAATTAAGAGATTTGCAGTGTCTGTCATAGACAGGTCAAAAGTTGTCACACTAATTGTAAGTGGATTCTGTTGGAATATCGCAAAAAGAAGTATTATCAAACTATTCACTAATTTAATTTTCTAAAAGGTTACATGATGATTTTTCGGAATAAACGGACGATAGATATCTAAATATTTAAATATATTATGAGATCTAGAGTTATTAAACTACAGTAAATATATTTAGGGTTATAAACGTATCTATGAAATATTTTTGTATTTCACTTCTTTTTTCACACAAGTACAATGAAATGGTAGAGAAATATCACAAAGAGAAGATCTATCGAATTATTCACTAATTTAGTTTTCTAAAAAGTTATATGACAATATATTGGAATTAACTTTAATACCTAATTATTTATAGAGAAATACTTTATTAAAAGTAATGCTGCCCTACTACATAGAGTTGCTTCGTACACAGCATACTTATCAATCCATACGGACATTAATTTTATATTATATTTTTCTTTTTTTTTTCTCCCCCTTCATAACAATACTCTTACAAATTATCAACAATAAGGCATATTAAACAATAGACATAGCATAATAAACACTTTCCCAAAATAAAAAAAAATTCCTTTTTTCTCTCTAAAATCCCAAACGCCAGGAACGCAATATAACATCGCACACATATATAACACAGCAATTCCTTGAATGTAGCCAAAAAGATAAGACGATTATGGACCAATTTAAAATTTAATAAATAATTACTAAACTACAGTAAATGTATTTAATATTATAAACACATGATTTATACATCCATGAAATGATTTTATATTTTATTTCTTCTTTCACACAAGTAGACTGAAATAGTTTTTTTAACAATGCCATCAAGTTAGGTAGATTTTAAATACATTTTTAAAAAATTAGCATTACCTTATTAACATATTCAAAATTCAAAAACCGAAACAAAGGATATAACCATTGCAGCAGAACGTATTAAAAAAAAACTAGAGACCATATCTTATCTCCTAATTATCCGATTTTTTTTTTGTTTTTTAGGCTATTCCATAAACTTTTAGAAAACAATATACAACATTCCCAAAAAAGTGTATACTTTTTGAGTTATTCGGAATTTAATTTTACCATCCCTTGTAACTTTTTTTCAGCTTCTTTTTGCTGATGAATGTTATATAGATAAATTTGAAAGGTGTCGAGAAAATGACTTTAGCGAAGTTTCAATGAAATCGGTACATTCGTTTAGGCGCTACAGTCTATAGCTACGTTTTTCTGAATTTTTATTTTTTTTCTCCTTTATTAACTTATCAAATTCTTTCAAAAGTTATATTTAGCATTTTTTCGTAACTCTGAATAATGCGAAATAATTATCTTTTTAAAATAAACCATATTAAAGGTACTTTAGAGGAAGACGTATATGAACATTGGGCATTTAAGCCCTGTAAAGTGACATCAATTGGGATAAGACCTAATTTATATTAAAGACCACTTAATTATACAATGATACACCGAGTTTAATCAAAATCGTTAGAGCCGTTTTTGGGAAAACTGAAAATGTGTTTCAGCGTTGATATAAAGTGGCACTTCCGGTTATCCGATTTTAAGGAAAAAGTTGCCGTCACAACTAAGGCATATACCTATCTTAAATACGTGATATCAATTTCATAGGACTTTTCGTTTTTGAGCTAGACTGCTAACATACAAACACACAGACCATTTGTCGGGACTTGGTCATTTTGACTCAGGGTACCTCAAAACGTATAAATCCGTCGAAAACTCAGATTCAAAAATTTTCTCGATCGCAATACTTACACTTACTATATATTACATATATACGTAAGTGAAAGTAATAATTAAATATGTTCTGTAATATACACAAAAAAAATATCAGGTTCACAACACAACATTGGTATATTTATGTCTTTCTCTGTTACCTACAAAGGTTCACATTTCCTGTCCCTTATTTTATACAGACAAAATACAAACAACTTTAAATTATGGTGGTATTAAATGGAACAAATCTAACATCTAATTTATTCTGATTGTTTTCTATTATTGTAATTTTTAGTTGCATTTAATTACTTACACATTTATGACAGTTCAATAATTTTGTTGAATTATTGTAATAAGTTTTTTAACTATATCTATCATCTTATTGTTTTAAATTGCTTTTAATAAGGAGAAGTCCTATAAAAAATACTTCTAATCATAATTGCTGGTCTATATGATTTTTGTAATTTGGAACATTTTTTTTTTCATAGATGGAATCGGAGATGGAAACCGTTTTCCCAATTTTGTTATGTTCTCTTAAAGACCAAGCGGATGATGTTGTACAGCATGCCATTTATGTATTAGCACAATTTGTATCACCAAAAGAGGAAGGTAAATTTTGCAAAATATTATATTATTACTGAACATTACTTCATTATTGTTATGTTATTGTTTTTTACCAGCGTCTTATTTTAATGGAATATAAATTTTTATGTTATTTTAATATTATTTAATTTACTTTCATAAAAATTGTTAATCATTTGAAAGATATCAGTGGCAAATTTGATCTGTAACATGGAAATGCTATTAAATGAAAGTCTTGTTTAGTAAGAAAAGGCGACTTTATTTCAATATCTTATTGCTTATCAATATCAACTTAGTACATCCATACATCTCTGCAATTGTCTTTATTTCTTGCATATAGGCCAGTAATACAATAAGTATTTTCAGTGGAAATAAAATTTAAGAAGCAGGAGAGTACATGGATTGCTTTATTTGACATTAATAGAAGTATGCTAGGTTTTCAAGATTCCTCGACCCAAGCTTACAATTCAGCATAAAATAAGCCAGTATAATTTTCAGCAAGGGAAGATGGGCTAAGACGAGGAGTGAGGAAATATGATATATTCAGTATTTCTCACTATTTTAGGCTGCACTTATTAGACAGCATAAGATTTGTGTAATGGTAGATAATTTAACTCACTAGTATAAATAAGTGTATGTCCTTGTTGAGCTAATTTGTGACCAAAAGTTCAGATACAGAACACTTTGAAGTAATTTTTGAATTTCAAAACACACGGAGTCATGATAATAAATCTTATTTTTACTAACTGTTTGTGGTTCCTTTCATAATATCTCTACCTGGAGACCTATCACCATTTATTCTATTGTGTGCCGAATCATAGAGAAGGTTCTGGACCACGAATTATGAAAGCAGGTCACCTTCCACAGGAATCAGAGAGGATTTATAAAAGGCCTCCCGGGAACGCACGTCTTGAGAAAATTTTTTTGGCTATATATCCTCATAAAAGCTTGGGCATCGTTCTAAATCATTCTGGGAACAGCATTGCTCTCCCTTGAGAATGGAGAGTACATCCAAATATTGAAGAATGGAGACACGATCAAGTATTTAGGATTCACATTCTTGGGATAGCTATAGTTCAACAAATATTCAGTGACCAAATTAAACGAAAACCTGAATAAACTGGTAATCTCTTGCTTGCTTAAACTGGTGCAGAAGCTAAACATTTTCAATCAGCATCTGTTCCCGGGTCTTACTTACCCTCTCCAAACTGCGCCCTTCACAAAACTGCGTCCTGCCATGTTTGACAGCATCGACACCATGATTCGCAGGAGTGTAAAGGCCATTATTGGACTCCCTGCTAATACCTCCATGGCTATGATTAATTCCATTAGGATTAATCCTATGCCTTTTTCTAATCATTTTTTTATTATTCGGCTGAGATTGCTGAATGTGCCAAGAGATTGGGGGTTAATCACGGTAATGGAAATATGAGAGCTCTACGGCAGTCTTTACAAGAAAATTCATTTGAGGAATGGACCAATTGCTGGTGGCAGGGCAATGGATTTCACCATTTTAAAGAGACCCCTAAAGCAAATACATTATGAAAAGCAAGTACTTCTTGGGTCTGAATGGTCAAATGCCTTTAAACTTAATATTCATTATTCACCCTTGTGTGGAAGTCCCAGATGTTAGGGGACAGGTAAGAATGTTGGATTCCTCTGTCGCAAATGCAGCCCAGAGCCTGAAACACCAGCACATGTGCTTGGAAAGTGTTCCCAACAACTCCCTCCTTATAACACGCCGCCACCACTGAGTAAAACATGAATTTATGAGACTCTTTAGAGAGAGAGAGCGGTTACGCCTGTTTCGAGGAAGTATATTGCATTGATACGGATAGATCCACCCGATATACCAACATCATAGCCTTCCCTAAGACTAAGGAAAGTTGTCTATGATTTTGGATCCTACTGTAAGATATAAAACCAATTACCTTGATCAGGCAGGCAAAGTGGAAAGGGAAAAAAGCAAATATATGATAAATGCATCCCTTTACTTAATGAAAAAATCCGTGAGAGTTTCGGGCCTGGAGATTTCCACGTGATAGGCCTTTGGTTCAGAGATCGTGGAACGATACCAAACTCAACAAGGAGCTTCATGGAGGGCCTTGGTGTCGACATTAAGGACGTGACAAGGTTGGCAGAGAATATAATCCTCGACTCCCTGGGAATCATCCACCACCATGTGCATGGGAGTGGATAGGTAGAGAGTTTTTTCATGGGAGGAAGGCATGCATATATTACAACATTTTTATATTATTTATTGAACACATCCACTGTATTTTATGAATTAGGTCAGAAAGAGAGTGGAGAAAATATGAGGAGGAATAAGAGAAATGTATAAGGGGAGAGAAGGGAAATAAAATGTTAGTGAATGAAAGAAATTCTCAAAAAAGAAGAAAAAAAGCTTTTGGACTTTTTTCATCTACAATGGCCCTTGGGTCTCCCTCTACTTCCCTTTGCATCTGGTGTACAATCATACAGTCTTTTTGGCATCCTGTTTTCGTTTATTCTCAGCATATGACCAAACAAACCACTTCAACCTTTGGATTCTGATGATGGCTGAGATATTCAGGTCCTTGTATTTATTATACAGATCCTTATTTTTTCTAATCCACCAAAGTCCATCTTCACAAATTGGCCCCTCGACGTTTCTTAGTATTGTAACATTTCTTTAAACGTAACCTGAATGATAAAATTATAATTGTATAATTATAATTAATAAGGGCTTACCCAGTGGAAGGGGAGTGAGTTCTTCCTTACAGACTATTTCTTCTTTGCAGGTGATATTAAATAATTGATAACAGATCCATAATTAGTCAATTTATTCATAATAGGAACAACTTAAACAAAAAATAATTAACACAATTTCTCACAAAATAATCAAAGATTGTTTTCAGTCTATCTCACAACTCTCAATCTGTATAACATCCTTCTGTAAAAAATTAATTCCAACACTTTTTTTTCCAAATTCTTATATTTTAATCATTATGTCCACTGTGACAGTATCCTTCTCCCAAACCGGTTTAATACCTCACTAGTTATTTTATTCATTATCCAAGTTTTGTTGGCATAAGTTACCACAGGTCTTATTAGTGTTTTGTGCATTCTGAACTTTGTGGAATTACTGGTTAGCCTACTCCTTAGTATCTTGGACATGCCAAAATATGCTCTGTTCCCCACCATGATCCTTTTCTTTGCTTCTTCTTCTTTGAGTTGTTCATTAATTATAGATCCCACATACTGAAAGCTGCTTAATATTTCGAAACTGTGGTTTTCCAAGATGTAATTTCTTTTAAGGTGGGCTTGCTTCTTTCTTATGAAAACCATTATCTTAGTTTTTTCTTCATTAATATCCAGCCCTATTCTGTTTGCTGCACTGTCAAGCCTTCCAACGGCATCCTTACTAGAGTTCAGAGACCTGCCAACAAGCAAGAAGCTGTCTGGTTTTATTAAATTTTTTCCTGCCCATATCTAGCTCAGCTCTGTTTATGACAACATGGAGAGCTATGTTAAAAAGGATGCGGGTCTGAGTTCAATTCCAATATCGAAAGTGTCAGAGATTCTTCCAGCACTCTTCACTTAACATTTCATATTTAACATTGTGTACCTCGACAGTCTAATTAATTTGGAAGGAATCCCAATCTCAGCCATTCCTTTGTATAGCTTGTTCCATATGTCCATATCATATGCATCCTTGAAATTTATGAATATTAACCCGATTGTCTGATTTAATTTTTCCATTTTCTTGCATGACTATCTCAATGATAAAATCTCATCTGTGGTGGATCTCTGGCATCGAAAACCTCCCAAATATACACTAATTGCTCTTTCCACTTATGGCAGTATTCTGTTATAATAGTGCATTTGAGAATATATTGTTAGTTGTGCTGAGTAAGGATACACCATTGTAGCTGCTGCAATTGGTTTGGTGCAATCTTCTTTATCTTTAAATATTGGCACGATAAGGCCTTTGATCCAATCCTAAGGGACCCACCCTCTCTTCTTCATAGCTTTGCATCAGCAGTTCTTAAACCTCCTTGGCTAGATCACTACCAGCCACTTTAAAATTTCTGATGGTATTCCATCCAGACAAGGCGATTTATGTTTTTTAGCTTTTCCACTGTACTTTTAACATGATCACTATATGGTGGAAATTCTATTGTGGAGGCTTCTTAACTTACACTTATTAAAGTATGGAGATATTCTTTTCACTTAGCTTGCACATCCTCTTTAAGCATTAGAATCATTCCTTTCTTACTCCTTATCATGCTTCCCTTACTCTTGTTACGTTTCCTGACACTATTAATTTTCCTTTAAAATTTTCTAGTTTCGTTATTTGCTCTGGTATTCTCTATTTCCTTATTTATAGCCTCTCTTTTCTTTTTTTTTCACTATCATATCAGACAGGTTATAGAGGATAAAAGATAATTGCATATGATCAAACATGAAAAATAATTTATATGGAAAATAAAATTTTCTAAAATTTGTATTTCGTAAACTATTTGATTTACTGAACCTGTTCTGGTGTTAAATTGTAGCATATTTAATCTAATTTAAAAATGTATAGATTGTTTTTTGTCAAGAACCTACTCCTTCATGAATAAAATGGGAAAAAAGTGCAAAAATGTAGCAGTTTTTGGGATATTCAAGCGGGGGAGAGGGGGAGAAAGGCACTGAAAACAACAACAAGGTCGAAAACTTGGATTTTACCTTTGGTCTTCCTTCTACTTCCAGTTACACATATATCTTTGACAATCTTTCAGGCATTATTCTTTTAACATGTTCAAACCAGTATATTCTTTTCTTTTCAATATTTGCTATCATGTTTCTTTCCACCTCCATCATTTCTGGAATTCTTTCATTTTGTATTCTTTCCCTTCTGGATTTTCTTGCTGCCCTTCTCCAAAAATCCATCTCTAGTGCTAACAGTCTTTTTCGGTGCAGTGCATAGATGACCTATGTCTCTGAGGCATGTGTCGGCTTAAATCGCGAAAATTATGAAAAATTTAAAAATCTTTTAAATTACTGAATTTATTCTTATTTTTTATAATGGCGGAAACCACGAAAAATGGAAAATTATGAATAATTTAAAAATATTTTAAACTACTGAATTTATTCTTATTTTTTTATACGACCAGCATTTGTTTCTTCTCAATTTTTGGTCATAACACGGGTGCAAAAGAATAGAAATCTGAAAAAAGTTAAATGAAATTATAAAAATGATAAAATGTTTTTGTCTCCCTTGCCTTACTGGCAATACGGGTTGTAGCAGCAGTGGGGTATTACACAGGGTATATGCGTATGCCACTGCTGGCAGTACAGGTCTATTCTTCCTACCAAGCTGGCGCATTGTTCAGCTTCTGCTTTCAGATCGGCTATGCTGTTTGAGGCCACCACAGTGGCCAAATCGTCATCATATGCCTTGGCAGGAACCGCTCCTCTTCAAGCTTCTCCAGCAACTCGTCAATGACCAGCTTCCACAAGGCGGAAATTTTTTGGGGAAGAATCGCTGGGCACTCTGAAACTGGAATTCGGTCTCTCACTAAGCTAGTCTTAAAAACAGATTATTGAGTAATTAAGTATTAAGAAATGGAAATTCTAATAAATTTTATAACAATTTTATTCATTGAAAATTTTACAATTGTTTCATGTTATAATCCCTTTGTTATATTCAATTTGACATAAGTAAAATATATATTATAATCGGTGAGCAAAAAATTCCAAAATCACTAAATTAAAATTGTTGATCAAATTTATTTTATTCTGTAATATAATATATAATGATTTGAGATACTGCGCAAACCTAGCATACTTCTTTTTTAGTTAAGTAAAATGATCTCCTGTTTATTTCTACTAATAGTTCCCACAGTGTCTAATTTAATTGACCTATATTCTTTTTTCTTGATTTACCTAATCTAGATCTGAGCTGGGGTCATTTGCTAGGTACCTATCTATTGATCTTACCTCTGTAAATGTTTGTTGTTCTGGTATAGCCTTATTCTAGATACATTCCCTTAATATCTTTACTGTCTCATTTCCAATTTTAATTCTGGATTTTTTATAAGCAGTTGCAAGAGTGTGAAGTTGCTACGAATTTAAAAAATAAAGCCTACAAAACATGGTTCAGAAGCGACACACGAGAAGGGCCACTGAGGAATATAAAACAGAAGGATGGAAGAGAAGAGACTACTCAGACGAAAGATGAGAGAATGGGAAAGGCGAAAGCTAGAGGAGATGGAGGAGCAAAGGAGACAGAGTAAATCAAGGGCATTCTACAAGACGGTGAATGAGAGTAGGACATCATTCAAACCAAGGGTCCAATTATGTCTTAACGAAGACGGCTCCATGATCACAGAGAAGGAGCAGACTCAGACGAAAGATGAGAGAATGGGAAAGGCGAAAGCTACAGGAGATGGAGGAGCAAAGGAGACAGAGTAAATCAAGGGCATTCTACAAGACGGTGAATGAGAGTAGGACATCATTCAAACCAAGGGTCCAATTATGTCTTAACGAAGATGGCTCCATGATCACAGAGAAGGAGCAGATTTTGGCCCGATGTTCTCATCAATTTGATACACTTCTGAACAAGGGTGCAGATGGTCCGGACGATTTCATAATCCCTAGTGCTGAGCATCACCTGGACTCCCCAGACCCACCGACATGTGAGGATGTTCTTGAAGCAGTTAACAGGCTGAACAACAACAAAGCCCCATTAGAGGATGGAATTCCTTCTGAGCTTCTCAAGCATGGTGGCAAGGAGTTTCAGAGAGCCCTCTACGACATCATCCTCGCCATCTGGATTGAAGAAAAAATGTCAGATCAGTGGAAGAAGGGAACAATTTATCCACTACAAGGGTAATATCCACAATAAATTTATCCACAAGAAGGGTAATATCCTCAACTGCTCCAATTACCATGGGATCTCACTTCTTCAGTGTGCATATAAGATCCTCTCAAACATTTACTGCAAACTCCTCCCGTTTGCTGAGAGAGAGATTGGTTAGTATCAGGCAGGGTTCAGAGGAGGAAGATCTATAGTTGACCAGATGTTTAGCCTCCGTATGATACTGGAAAAGTCTCAAGAGTACAGGATGATGACCCATCACCTGTTTATTGCCTTCTGAAGTGCATACGACAGCATCAAGAGACCTCAACTGTATGCAGCCCTGTGGGACCTTGGAGTTCCCTCAAAACTTGTCCGCCTCATCAAGATTACTATGGATGATGCTAGGTACACTATTTGGGTACAATCAGATCTGTCACCTGAATTTGTTTCCACACGAGGAATTAGGCAGGGGAGTGGGCTTGCCTGCCTATTGTTTAATGTTGGAGAAGGTAATACGTGACTGGGGGTCCAGACTACCAACACTATCTCTAACAAATTAATGCAAATACTGGGATTTGCTGACGATTTAGATCTGATGGCACGTTCCGTTGAGTCTCTTAAGTGTGTATTATTAAGGTTTGTTGAAGCGGCAGAAGCTTCTGGAATGAGTGTAAACCAAAAAAAGACGATGTATATGCAAGCAGGACCTGAAACCGAGACCGCAGTACGAGTGCCGGTGGTTATGGGCCCATTTACGTTCCACAATGTAGACCAGTTTACCTATTTGGGAGCTATTGTAAGCTGTGGAAATAGAATATCCATGGAGGTCAACCAGCTAATAAGGGCAAACAGGTGCTATTTTGGCCTCAGCAAACACCTTGGAAGCTCTGCCATCTCCCGTCATACAAAATGCTTCTTATATAAGACCCTCATTAGGCCTGTTCTCACATATGGATCAGAAAGCTGGATCTTCTCTAGCAAAGAAGAAAAAGATTTACTAATATTTGAAAGGAAGATCCTACAGCATATCTTTGGACCTGTTAAGGTCAGGGATGATTGGAGAAGGTGGACTAACAGGGACCTGTATAATCTGTATGGGGAGACAGATGTATTGAGGTGCATCAAGCTTGGGCAACTACGTTGGGCTGGCAATGTGGCCAGAATGCCAGAAGAGGAAGTCCCAAGGAAGTTGCTTGATGGGAAGCTCTGCAGGACAAGAGAGAAAGGCAGGCCACGTCTAAGATGGGAAGACGCCATCATCCGGGACGCCAGAGAATTATTGCATACCCGCCCGCAACTGGTGAACGACTGCACAAGATAGAGCCTCTGGTGAGGGCTCGTTGAGGTGGCCAAGGACCACACCGGTCTGTAGCACTATGGAGTTAGTTAGTTAGTCATTAGGTTTTCTTTATTTATCAAGAAAAATCTTTGCTCTCTACTCCATTTATAACAGATAATTAAACAGCCTTGACAATGTGGAGCTGATGTGTTTTCTTACCTTTTACCTTTCTACATTGTTAGAGGTTGAGAATTTCTTGAACTTGTATCATCACTTCTTAAATTGTATATATCCCTTCATAATTTTTGAAAATGGTTGTCTATCAGATACCCTGTAAAATTTATGTTCCATTATTTTAATCTGCCAAGTTAGGTTGTGTTATGTTGATTAATTAATCATGTGTTGTAAATTTTAATGACTTCTAAAATAAGAGTTCTTGTTTGAAACAAGAAAGTTTAAGATAAAGGTACAACTTTCAAACTTGGTCTATGTTTAGAAAATAATAAAGTATATTATCTAGGTCCTGGGAAGTCTGAACCATCTCCTTATTTTACTAGAGTATTGGTCAGTTTATTAAATCTTTTTAGAAGAGACAGGCAGGCTTTGGAAGATAGAGGATCATTTATTATAAGGTATGTTTATATTAATCTATGGTCACATTGTAATTTAATTATGATTAATTGAATCAATCAATGGTTTTCATGATTAATTATTTTATTTAAATTTATTTATCGTTATAAAATCATACAAGGGGGTATATATATTATATATAGATAGATAGATAGATAGAAAAAAAAACTTTATTCTGGGACTAAGTCCCTTCAGAATAACAATAGTGTACAAAATAATAGAATATTACTGGCCTGAATGTTGAAACAATAAATAAAATTGATAAAATAAAATAAAAAGTAAAGAAAACCTTAGGTGCGCAAGCTATATACAATACAGATAAAACTATGTACAGAGCATTTAAAATTATGAACAAAACAATTAAAACTATGAACGAATCACTTGAACTATGAACAAAATTATATTTAAGGGTTGAACAACATAAACATACACTTTGAGAAATGAAGAACGAAAAAGAGATACAATGAGTTCATTTCATAAAAAAAAAAAAAACAAAAAAAAAAACTTTACTTGAATATATATATAAAAATAAACAGTTACTTATAATTGAATAAAAAAAAAAAAAAAAAAAATGTATGTATTGAAATTCGAACGGCGATAGTAGGAAATGCATGTACTATCTCTTACCAAGTGTTATGATTATATGATTGCTACACAATACATATATAATATTAATGGTTAGCTGGTATCAGACTGTTTTTGGAACAGGAATTGGAATAGGAGGTTTTTGAATGTATACAGGGAAGGGGCATGTCGAATTTTGATCGGGAGGGAATTCCAAAAGTTGACAGAGCGGGCTATAAAGGAATTTTGGAATGAGGCAGATCTATGAGAAGGGATGTATAGGTCAGAGGATCGGGATCTTGTAGTGAGTGAATGGATTGAGGACTTAAATTGGAGAAGGTTGTAGGCATAAGAAGGACGATGATCGGTAATGATTTGATAAAGGAAAGTGCCAAGGAAATATTGTCTTCTTAAGGAGGGGAAGAGCCACCCTAACTCAGTGTAGTGGTGGGAGACACGGGAGCGTCTCGGGGTTCCAATTACAAATCTTACGAAGCAATTCATAAGTCTTTTGAGTCTATCACGCAGTTCCACCGAGAGGCCATCGTACACCACACAGCTGTAGTCAAAGTGGGGAAAGATGAGAGAGGAAACTAGGAGTCTACGGGTATTTTGGGGTAGAAGATGGCGGAAGTGATGGAATAGTTTGAGGGTCGAAATTGCACGGCGGGATATATGAGAGATATGGTGATTCCAGGAAAGGGTTTGATCTATGAGAAAGCCTAAATTTTTAACAAAGGGGTAGAAGGTGATGGGGTGGTTGTTTAGATAGAGTGAGGGAAAGTTGGTGTGGGATCTAAGAAGGGGCTTGGAACCAATGAGAATGGCCTGAGTTTTGGCAGCATTTAGCCGTAATCCATTTAAGTTGGCCCAGGCACTAATTCGATCTAAATCTTCTTGAATTTTGGCAAATGCCACCAATAACTCAGCGGGAGAAAAGGATAAATAGATTTGAGAATCGTCGGCATAAAGGTGGTGGGAACAATGGATAATTGAATCATTTAGGTCATTAATATAAGAACTGAAAAGAAGAGGAGACATGCTTGAACCCTGTGCAACTCCTGAGGATAAAGGAAGGTAGGCAGATAGAAGTTGATTAGGTATGGAAACTGCTTGGGTTCGTTGTGAGAGGAAAGACTGGAACCAAGAGATGGAACTATTGGAGAAGGATAATGATTTTAGTTTGTTGAAAAGGATGGAATGGATAATGGAATCGAAAGCTTTGGAGAAATCAAGCAGTATAAGTATGGTTAGTTTTTTGTCATCTATTGCAGTCTGGATATCACTAGTAATTTTAATCAGAGCAGATTGTGTAGAGTAGCCAGGACGGAAGCCAGATTGGAGAGGATCGAGTTGGTTGGATTGTTCAAGGTAGTTGGAAACTTGGGATTGCACTAACTTTTCTAGGGGTTTAGAAAGATTGGAAAGGATTGATATTGGGCGGAAATCTTCGGGAGAGGATGGATTAGGCTTTTTGTTTAAAGGAAGGACAATGGCTTTTTTCCAAGAGGTCGGGAATATTGAATTCTGCAGGGAGAAATTGTAGATGAAAAGGAGTGCTGGGAGGATTTCAGGGAGACATAATTTTATTAGTTTGATAGGAATGCCATCTGGGCCTACGGAATTGGAACGGGATTTCATTATAACGGTAATAAGGTCTGTGGGAGAAATGTCGGAAAAATAAAAATTATTATTATATATGTGTGTGTGTGTGTATAAATTGTTAAGAATATGATATAAAACATTTAAAAAAAAAAATTAAGATATCAAGGAAATTGCAAAGATATACATATACATATATATGTATACATTCAATGTTCTTTTCTTTTATTTCGGTGTTGTATAATATTTCAGTTTTCAATTTTTTTATTAGCCAACATTACACCGATGTTTTCACTTCCAAATCATATTATGTTTCGGCTCGTCGAGCCATTTTTAGCCTAAAAACAATTTTTCAATTTAGTCATTTCTAATATTATTTTGTTAACTTTTGTATAATCATTGAAATTTTTTTTAAAACTCACATATTTTGAAATATAAAATTTTATATTTACCTATCATATACTTGTCCATTACATTTCTTATGTATATATGTGTATATATATATATATATATATATATATATATATATATATATATATATATATATATAAATAAAGTTAACTTTGGACTAGTTCAAAAGTTCACAAAAGGACTCAGATATAGTTTCAATATCAAATAACTTTTATTAATACAAAACATTCAATACAGATAACAGCTAACATATGTATTTTATTTTAAAATACGTGAAAATGATATCAAGCCTTATCTTATTCATTCACAAGCTTTACTGAAGCATCCTACTTGTACATACACATATAAATATATGTTTATATATATATATATATATATATATATATATATATACATTTTTAGTGTTAACTGTTGATAAACTAGAAACTTCTTTTGTTTCTACAAAATCAAATCTTTATTAATAACAATTATAGATTAAATAAATCATTAATTCTTAAAACTATACCTACCTACAAAACAAAATCAGTTTTTATAGTCTTTAGTGCAATGTAACACTTAATAATTTGATCTAATTGCAAACTGTATCATATGGTTATTTTAATATAACATCATGTGTTAAATGTATAAATTAAGTGATTAAATTGAATAACTTATATGGGGGGGGGGGATTCGTTAGAACCTAAAGCTCCTTTACCCACACACACACGTATATATATATATATTACAAAAATTGAAATAATTTTTAATACCTCCTCCGATTCCAATCCTTCCTCCAAGTATACTTGAATATTGGAGCTATCTTGTTGCATATTAAGAGATTTTTCACTGTATATTTTGTGTCTTTTATTACACATTTTATGGTTTTCCATTGTATATTCTGAGAATTTTTACTGCATGAAAATCTGGACTCTGATCTTATTTATGTATGTATAATCTTCGTTCCATTTATTTTATGTCAACACTTACGTTTTTCATCTCATATATTCCATTACATTTCATTGTTAATTAATTTTTTATTTCATAGTTACAGTTATTATTTTATTCATAATTTCCTAACTTTGTTACCATTATGTTATATATCTTAACTTTGCTTCCACTACTTTCTATTCCTAACTTTGTTATCGTTGTTTTATATTTCCTTTAAGTTTATTCTACCTACTTTATTATACTTTAAGTTTATTCTACCTACTTTATTTTACTTTAATTTGATTCTACCTACTTTATTTTACTTTAAGTTTATTCCACCTACATTTTTTAGACTATACCTTTCACCACATATTATTATTTTCTTCTTATTTTTCTTTTTTTAGAAAGCTTCAGTTTATATATTTTTTTAAGGTTAAGGCAAATAAACTTCCATTTTCTTTAGTCTTTTTTAATCACATCTATTACATCTGACGTTTCGGGACAATTTTCCCATCCTCAGAGAATCCTTTATGTTTACTGAAAATATACATATTTAAAGTAAATTATTATTACATTGTTAATTTACTCTATTTTTTGTCTAATTATTTACCTTGATTTTGTATTGTGGCACCAATTGTCAAAAACTATTATTTTCTTTTTCATGTTAATAGTTTCTCATACCCATTGTTATATGGTTTTTTCTTAGCCCTGATTAAGACCTTAACTTTGTGCCGAAACGTTGGCAAGAATAAAAACAATATAATTTATTTATTTTTACATTTTTTTGACTGATCACCTTAACCAATATTCTCTTTAATTATTCACTACAGTTAAACATCAATCCACAATTATGAAACCACAGTTTAATATATTTTCAATTTTGGATATTACGTTTAAATCAAATTTCCAAAAGATCTATAATGCCTATCAATGTTCAGGAACAAAAATGTGTAAAGATATTGAATTAATGTATTAAGCTTATGATTTTTAAGTGCCGATTAGTTAAATTTTTTATTTATATTTTTTGAATGGCCAATCACTTGAGAAATGGCATGTTGGATATCAAAAAGTTAAAATAACTTATTTTATAAATAGGGAATTTATTTTCATATGATGATGATGATCACTTTTCCAAATAAAAAGGTGCTTTTCTGCATAAAAAAGAAATATTTTGATTCAATGGAAACTAAAAACATCCTCAGTATTTTGCATGCAAACTTTTGTCTAAAGATAATATATAAGTATTTTAACGCTATTTTTTAATTTGTTTTTATCTTTACAGACAACTCTGTGTTCTTCTCAATGCAGAAGAGATTTATAAAAGTATAGCGAAGATATTGAAGACTGAAACAGATTTAAAGTTTGCACGTGTCATGGTTGATACGTTAAATACAATATTATTGACATCTTCTGAACTCTTGAATCTCCGAAACCGTCTAAAAACTGAGGTAACTTTTTTGAAAGGATTATTCATCTTTTCATTGTCTTATTTCTGAATTTCTGTTGCTTTCTTTGTGGTATGTATAGTATGTCCTCATTATTCTATCCCTACAACTCTTCCACGTTTTTCCCTTAGAAAGCCAGGTAAGGGGCTAAAATGAGGAATGCAGCTGTCCTAAGGTCCTCCTCCTGGCTTCCAGATAGCAACTCAGTTAGAGAGGGCTAGATCAGCTTCCTTTGCTCAGAAAAGAATCAGCGTTTTTAGAGTATGTGCTCGGCATTCTTTTCACCTCCTCCGCACTTGCAGAGGGTACTGGGGCCAATATGAATTCCTTTGCAAGTTTTCTCAGGTATTTGCCCCGCTTCAATCTGCGTGATTGTAACACTGATGCTTCATCTGTAAGAAACACAATTTTTGAGTTTTTGGGTTTCTTCAGTGTTCTAAGCAGTCTCGAAACCTCACAGGTAGCTTCATGATCAGCCTGATAATTCGAAAAAGTAAAGCCGGTTGGAACGGCCTTCTCAATAATGTTTCCCATAGGAAATTATGAATGAATTCCGGCCCCATCGTTTGTGGGTGATCTGTCAGTATATATTCGGGTCCATGGGTTATTCAGGTGCTTGGTGTTTATTTGTTGGAGGGAAAGAGATTTCAAATGTTCCTCAGGTATGTTCTGCTTGCTTTAGTATAGGGTATGTTTTCCTCCATCCTCTAAAATCAATTATAATAAAACCTTTTTTACTAATTAATTGAATATTTTTTTTTTGTTTTAGGGAAGTGAATTACTCTTCAAAACTCTTTATGAAACATGGTGCCATAATCCTGTTGCAACAATTGCGCTTTGCCTTTTAACGCAAAACTATGCTCATGTAGCTAATTTAATAACAACGTTGTATCCTTTTGATATGTATTTCAATCAAAGGTTTCTATCTTCACATTTAAAATTTATACAAATTATTTATCTGATTCATAATATAAAATATTGCATTATTTTATTATTTTTCTTAAAAATCTAAAATGTTTTGGTAATTTAAATCACCTATCCACTATAGGAAATACCCTGTCAATTGTATTAAGAAGGGAGGGGTCTCAATCAATGATAATTATTCTCTTTTCCATCACTTCATGTTGAACTTTGCTGTTGTGATTTAATATTTTTATTAACAATTATTTTATTAACAAGCATTCTAATGCGAGCTCAGATAGCCTATAGATTTGGCTTAGTTTCATATTGTAAATCACCATTTTACCAGAAATGGGTTAACTTTTGCTTGATTAGAATTTTTTTCAGCAGGTACTAATTGGCTTTGCCTTCTCCGCTGTTTTGAAATACAATGAAAACAAATCTTTATGATAAATAACCTTATTTTAGTTATTCATTTTTTGTGGGAGTTTGATATAATTATTAAGATTTAATGAATACACGATTATTATTTTTCAAAAACCATATATACTTTTCCAGATCTTTTTTTGTTAGTAAAACATCTCTTTAATAAGGAGTTTTATTTTCTAAATGTATTACACAACTTTATTTTATTTATTTTTTTGTTTTTGCGAAGTATTAATATACCTAAAATTAGAGTATATAATAAATATTACTTATTTGAGTGCTACTTACACATGTAGTATATACTATTAACATGTAAATACTGGTTTATATTAAGATTTAGAGCAGTAGAATAATAAAAAATTCAAAAGGTAAGTTTCTGTAAAATCTTGGAATTTCCAAATTTAATTATAATTGCTCTAACTTCTTGCTTTAAGGGTTGAAGATAGGATTGTTAATAAATATTCTTGATGAGAATTTAATGCTCAACAATTTTCTTCCCCCGTGACTTTTTTGTATAATTAATAGAAAATGAGTTGACTAGTAAAACAAAGATAAAAATGTGAGACAAAAATTTGCTTAATATTAATGAATATTGGTCATGGGTATATTGAAAATTATGCAAAATAACATAAAAATGAATATCATCAATATTGTTTCAAATTTTATCAGTTTTAATTTTTTATATAATGTCTTTATCACTAGGATGCATCATTTCCTAGATATATGCAACAAACTGAAAAAAAGTGACTTTCTGGATGCCCCTCCCCCACATCTGGCTCACCTTCTAGAAGTGAGGACTTTTAGTATGTTTACGCCTTAACTAGTTAATACCAAGTCCCAAAGTCAAATGTCGTGTTCTTTTCATTTCCCTTTATAATTATTCATTGACTGGACTATATCCTAAAGAAAGGCACTCCATTTATGTGTGTAATAATTACAGAGGTATAGCATTCCTTCCTGTTGTCAACAAGATAATGACCAATATCCTACTAATAAGAAATATCAAATTATGTGTGTACAATGCTATGATTAATCCAGTTTTGGTATGATCTATCCAGCACCCTACAAAGAAGTATTAAGATATTTTTAAAAAAAAGTGCACTAAAGTGTGGAGGAGAAGGACCAATAAAGAACTGCTTACAGGGACTGTTTAATCAATATCTTGTGATACGAAGGCAAGAACATTTAGATAGGTGGGGCATGTAGCTCGGAGCTATCCATCTGGAAGTCTACACAACAATGAATGCCTCAATAGTAGGTAATAGACGACGTGGAAGGCCAAAAACCAGATGGATAGATAGCATCAATTAAAATGCTGTAGAGCTGCATAAAGATAACTGGAAAGAAATAGACCTAGATAGGCAGCGATGGAGAAGGCTGGTTAAGGCAGGCAAAAGGTCTATAATGCCAACAGGAAACATAAAATTAATAAATGGCATAAAGAGAAGTACAATTACAACAATAACCAAAGCAACAAAAATACATTTAAAAACTAAATGGAAAATATCATGAGAAGTATTCTGGGAAACATTATAAATAAAAGAATAACCTATTTCACACAAAATAATATTAATTAGGCTGGGTGAGGAAAAGTTGGTACAAAAGTAGGGATTCGAATATGGAGACCATTGATGTATGATTATTGATTGAGGTAGCTCATTGATTGGAGATAAGAAGATTAGGATGGACTTTCTAAATGCAGCAATTCTACACTCGGAAGGAGTGTAGAAGTCAGAAGAATGAGATTGGGTGGGACGGGATTGAATGAAAGATTTAAATTGTATGAGTATGAGCTGAATTCTGATAACCTGATAAAGAAAGGACACAAGGAAATACTGACACCTGTGAGATGGATAGAGCCACTCTTTAGATTCATTTCACAGATAAGGTAATATATTTAATTGTGATTGTGTTAAGCTCCCTCTTAATTTAAATTAAACTTCGAATGAAGCTTAACTATGATTTGAATTGAGCAAATTGTAATAAAAATAAAAAGTGGACTGTATAGATTGTACATTTATTTTAAAATATTTACATATATTAATAAAGAAATAATAAAAAATGAAACTGATTTTACACTCGTTCTGAATAAAATAAAACTTTATATAAAATAAAATAAAATACTTCTTATAAGTAGAAAAAAATGAAAAATAAAAACCAATACTAAAATATGAAATAAAGAAATGAAATGTAACTGTCCCAAATTCCACTCAATAATAGAGTATAATATATATATATATATTATCTCAATAATATATATATATATATATATATATATATATATATATATATATATATATAGCTTACACTAAAGTGAAAGTTATACAAAACAAAAACAAAAGTTGAATGTTATGTGGTCGTATACAAGTGGCAAACCTTAACTAACTCGATGACCTTCTTCTCATCGTCAATCCTATAACTTGCCAGGTCAATGCTCAGTCCTGGCCCATTTTGATGAAATCTAAGCGTTTTTTTCTCCAAAACTTCTACCATTTGACTGCAGTTTCTGAAACAAGGTTGAAACGCACAATCATGTCCTTCCAGATTTCTCTACCCAACTATACTCTCCTCTGTCGTGATCAAGTGGGTAGTACAGGTGCCCTGTTGCCCTAAACTCAATTTTTATAATCGTAATTCCATAACTCTGTTATTTTTCATCAGATTTTATTGTTTTTACACTTCATACCATCAGTTATCGCCATAGCGTTGATTTATTTTTATTTTAACAATAATCTAATTAATTGTTATTTTAGTTTATCTCATAAGATGAAATCAATTAATAATTGATCTCAACAGCAGATACTGTTATGAATAATCTCAATAGTAGATCATTCACACATATTTAAAAACTTTTTAAGCTAAAATATCTACTAATAAAAAATAAATATAATATCAACAATTATATTTATTATCCGTTTCTTTTCTAAAAGTCATCATCCCGGTGATTGTGGAGAGTGAATATTAATTACATTTAACAGAATATCATTTTGAAATATAAAACAAAATTAAAAATATAACTTTGTTAATGCATTAATGTATTCTGTTCTTTTCACATTTTTGTTCTTTTAAAAAACAATAAGTGCTGACAGTAGATTTTCTTACCCTTTCTATAATGTTCTGAACTACTGTATAAATGAAAAATATACTTCAGTATGTGTGAATGGTTGATCTCTCCTGGTTCAGCTTCTGACCTGTGGTTATGAGACCTTTTACAGGTAAATTAGGGAAGGTATTAAAAATTTTGGTGTTATTATCTACCATAGGAAACTCACTGATATGCAATAATTTGATACTAGTTCTATTTATAGTAGTGTCCTACTATGAGGCTTAGAAAACAGGCTAAAGTCTTAAAGTAGTCAACTCTTTTTTTATAAAAAAATCTCAAAATTCTGATCAGATTACATCAAGGATCAACATACTCATATCATTAATTAAAATTAAAATCTTCAATATTGTTATGCATCTTAGTTATTGTTTTTCTTGATTGGTAGTTTAATGAAAATATCTAATTATTATTTTATACGGTTTACTTTCATTTTGAATTTTTCAATCTTATCAAAATTAATCATGGTGGGTCAATCTGATAGTGTTCACATGCAGTAGTTTGGGAACATCTGGGTTACATTACCATCAATCTTACATCCAGTTGATGTGGATTGCCTCCAATAAGCTGATAGTCCTTACTAACTGGGAGAATGGGGATGGAATAAAACAACTCACTTAAGCTCATCAATTTTTAATAGCTCCAGATGCTCACTCTTTAGTCTGACTGGTGATTTTCCATTTTTAATTTTATTTATGTAGTACTCATTTATTCAATATTCGATTGTTTTTTAACTGTTGTTATGTTTATGTATCATTCACAAAAAAAAAATGTATCAACGATTATCTTGATATTAATATTAAATATTTATTTATAAGAATAAAAATTAATGGTAATATTGATTCATTGGAAGTGTAATCTCCATCTTCTTCACAATCTTCTTGTAATTATGATTCCTTAATTTTCTTCAGATCTAATTATGAAGTAAGTGTTGAATTTTTAGCTGAGGTGGATCGTTTAGTTCAACTTTTGGAATCTCCAATATTTATATGTAAGTATTAGATATCAAAGATAATATGTAGTAGATTTATATAGTATATTATCTAAGAAAAAGATTAGTGATACTTATTACTGAAATATATGTATTTAATCATAACATTTTTGCTACCCACATTCCCAGTTGTAGTAGTAATTAATTTTTATGTCATAACTCTTTTCGAGAATAAACACTGTATAAAATATTACAGTTTTAGAATAATTGCTATTGATTAACAGTACAAATTAAATTCTCATATTTAGATAAAAATTATTGATAAATACATTTCAATAATACAGTTGATGTTGTATCAGTGGTAAAATAGATCACATGAATATTAGATGATAAATTCAGTGACCTTATTGATAGATAAAATGGTTATCATTTCATGAAATGGTTATAATATATTTATTTTAACCATTTCATGTCTATGAAAAATGTGTTTCCATCTTTTGAAATGAAATGAAAAATAATTTTATTCTGGGACTGAATCCCCTTAGAATAATAGCAGAGTTAACAAAATATGTACATCAATATGGCATTTAGATGTAATACAGATATATGCAAAAATAAACTAAGGAAAATACAAATATTTACAAAAAATATTTAGGAAAATACAAATATATACAAAAAATACTGAGAAAGAAATAATTAAATAAAAATAAAATGGCTCCTTTCCATTAACTGCTGGTGAGCAACTCTAGTTACATAATATTATTATTAAATTATTACTAAATCTTCTTACAAGCTTGTGGAAGATTGAATGCATGGTAGGTGGAATAGGAGTTGTTTGAACGAATTTGTGGACATGTTTTTTTGACGTATGGAGAAAGGTAAGGAGTTCCAAAAGGAGGTAGCAGGAATGAAAAAGGATTTGTTGAAGGAAGTGGTTTTATGGGAGGGAGTATATAGATCTATAGGTTGAGATCTGGTATTAAGAGAGTGGATAGAGAAACATAGAGTAAGGAGTTCTAGGATGTAGGGAGTATTTTTGTTCTGAGATTGTGTACAACTAGGAAACCTGGGAATCCCAAAGATATATCTTATGAAGCAGTTCATAAGTCTCTTCAGGCTCTCTTCCAGTCTTGTAGATAGTCCTCCATACACCCTGCAACTGTAGTCGAAGTGGGGAAAACAAGGAATGTTACTTAGAGCTGTCTGGTTTTTTTCTGGAATAAAATCACGGGATTGTTTTAGGATGATTATGGATTTACGGGTAATCTGGGAACTGTGGTTATTCCAAGAGAGGTTCTGATCAAAGATTACTCCGAGGTTTTTGACTGTCAGAATGAAATGGATGGGACGGTTATTGAGGTAAAATAGGGTAGAGAAAGGAAGGGAACTAATGAGGTACCTAGACCTGATGAGGATAACCTTAGTTTTATCTGCATTCAGCTTCAGTTCATTTTTTTCTGCCCACCTATGGGTACAGTCAAGGAAGATGGTTTGCGAAAAAGAAATTAATTCATTTGGATCTACTGGATAAAGTGTGCAAGTTTTGGAGCTTATACAGAGATCTTATATGTTTTATTATATTTTGAGAATATCCATGGTGTAGAAAATGTTATTATTGAAGGAAGTTAGTCGACTGTTCTACATATCATGGGTGATAAATATTCAGGACGCAGTTTTTTTTTTTTTTTTAAATACTGCGTCCTAAATATTTATCACCCAAGAAAATGTTATTGTTTATACATTTTTGGGTTTAAACTATATTCCTAGAACCATTGAGAAATTATTTTTAATGAGGTTGAGAAATGGGAGTGGTTCACATGAATATAAAAAAAAGTAACAACTTAGTCTATAAGTGGGCCTTATAGTCCTTTTTGCCAACCACTGATTCTACCTATTAGTTATCTCTCCATACTTATCAGAGTAGGATTTTCAAGATACATTTCCTGGGACCACTGAGAAATAAATATTAACTGATACACAGGTGAAAATTGAACCTACAACATATCAAGTTCCGCACTCTAGGACCCTTGTGCTTGGCCATCACATCCTCATACAAGAGGCTATAAGGAGTTTATTGGTTTATTCATTTGTTAATGCATATTACTATCATAATTTTTACAAAATATAACGTGGTCCTCATGTATTAATCCACCATCTTGGTGATTACCAAATCTATAATTTGGTAAGTCTTGTCTATTTCAAGGAATGTTGAATGATGCGTGAGATAGTAAAAAAAAATCTGATAGACTGTTTTTAATATTTTTTAAAAATGTTGAACATACTAATTGATGTTTCTTTTATTATTTGTTAATTTATAATTGATCTTATTATGTTTTTAGATTTGCGATTGCAGCTGTTGCAAACTCCTGAAAATTACTATTTAATTAGAGCTATGTATGGCTTGTTAATGCTTTTACCACAATCTGAAGCTTTTCATGTGCTACGGCATAGATTAGATTGTATTCCGAGACATATAAATTGCATTCAAAGGTAAAAAGCTGTCTTTTAAACATTCATTTTTATAAACATAATGTTTGCATGTATTTTAATACACCATAACAAAAAAATTTTATAAGTGAAAATATCTTATAAGTAGACAATTTTATTTTCTTCTGAATAAATATATTGTATTTATCTGTTATCAACATTTATATAGAACAAGTCCTTAAAGACTGGAAAAGATCATGTAGTGGAATGGGTGTTCAAATTGGGGATGATGTCATCGACAATTTGCAATATGCCGATGATCAAGTCATAATTTCATCGGATCCGGACGATGTGAGCTATATGATGAGGAAGTTGTTGGATACATATTCCAGATGGAATCTGAAAATCCATAAAAATAAAAAAGAGTGCATGGTTTTCAATGCTTCAAATTTATCCCTTGAAATTGATGACTGGACGCTCAATGTCAGCCAACAGTTCAAATATCTCAGATACTGACTCTTTTATAAGGAGGTAGTGAGGTTGACATCGAACATAAAATAAACAATGGGAAAAGAATAATAAGTTCGATAAATTTGACCCTATGGAGTAAGGAAATAAAATTGGAAACTAAAAAGAAGATCTACTATTCCTTTGTAGAAAGCGTAGCCATCTACAGATCAGAAGTTTGGACAAGTACAAAAAAGGCGGAAAATAGGTTGCTTTCCATGGAAATAGATTTCTGGAGAAGAAGCTGTGGCATATCTAGAATCAAGCCGATCCTAAACGCAGCAATTAGAGACAAGGTCGGATGTCAAAAGAACATCCTTCACCTGAACGGGGCCAAAAGGTTGAAGTGGTGTGGCCACTTAATGCGGATGGATGAGAACTGCTGGCCAAAGAAAATTAATAACTATATGCCACCTGAGAGAAGGAAGTCTGGAAGGCCAAAGAAAAACTGGACAAAGGATGTGGAGGAATGCATGGCAACCAGAGGGCTCCGTGAAGGGGATTGGATGGATGGACAGGGAGCAGTGGCTTTTGGGTATCGAGGATATGACTCCTTAAGCTGTGGAAAAATCTGGAAAAAAAAATATATTTATATAAATCTGTTATGCACTTCTATTTAATTATAGCCCCCTTCTTTCTTCCTCCCTTTAAAGTTTTAAGTTTTATGGAAGCAAATATATTTTGTCAGTAAAATCAAAATAGTTTTCATCCTGGTATATAATAAAAAAAAAAAAAAAAAAAAGAAACCTGTACCACTACTATCCATGATGAATCTTGGGTTCAGTACTATTTAGGGAAATACTGTTACAAGGCCAACGTTTGTGCAAGGAGGAGATCAGGCCAGGAACATGCTCAACCGCCAGGTTTTCCCCCTTAATGAATTATTTAATTAAGGGTACCCACTTTGTAGAGGCTGGGTGTGCCCCAGGAGGGTCTCACTACTCCCAGGGTCACCCCACGGCCAATGAAACAGAATAAATAATCTTTCTGCCATGAGCCGGGGTTCGAACCTGAACCTTGAGCATTCAGCATCCTGGTATATAAATAACTTAAATTATGCCATAATCAGGTGTTTATTTAACTTGAAAGCAAGGAACTGCCCTCTGTTTATTATATTTTCTTTTTCTTTTCAGATCTGATGTCAATTTTGAGGATGGGAACAAATTTAAAAGAATGAATTTTAATGAGTTGTTGGAACATTTTAAAAAAATTCAAGATAATCATGCTCACCAAAGACTTTCTGAAAGAAGTGATGCTCTATTCAAAACTAGTGTTAAAATGTTGAATCCTTAGTAAAGCTATTATGTCTTCGAAGTTACCATTTGGACTTAAAATATAGTTTTGTTTATAAAGTTCTAACTGTGATAAAGTTTATAATTGTTTACAGTTTTCTGATAGTATTTTATTATATTTGTACTGTCACAGGAATAACCTAATGTTGTGGTTCTACTTGTATAGTATTGATATTGTATTTTTTGTTTTTAAAGTACAAAGATTTAGTTAATTTAAGATATGTAAAACTATTGAAGTTTTTAGTTTTTTCCTCCATAAAATATTTAAAGTTTATTTTATTTAAAAATATTATTTTGTGAAATTTATATTCATATATTTACATTGAATAATCTATGTTTTTACTTTCAATACTGCATTCCAAATGTAAATAAAATAAAGACTTTTCAATTAACATTTGAAATATACCTTAATATTCAATATTTTATATAGGTACAATAGAAACTTGGTAATCCAACCTTTGATGGCACCAGGGAACTGGGATGAAACAGTTTAAAGTTTGGGTTATTAGAGAGAACAAAATAAATTTTTAAAATAAAAGTTTTTCCTCCTCACTAATATATATATATATATATATATATATATATATATATATATATATATATATATATATATATATACACATAAAAATGTATACAAAAAAAAAAAAAAAACTACCACTACAACCCATGAAGTGTCTGGGGTTCAGTACTATTTAGGGAAAGCACTGTTTCTAGGTCAACGGTTGTGCAAGGAGGTGATTTGACTGTAATCACGCTCAACCACCAGGTTTCCCCCCTTAATTAATTGTTTAATTAAGGGTACCCACTTTATAGAGGCTGGGTGTGCCCCAGGAGGGTCTCCCAACCGAGGGTCGCCCCACGGCCAATGAAACAGATAAATAAATTTTCTGCTATAAGCTGGGGTTCGAACCTGGGACCTTTGCATTGGAAGCTCAGTGCCCTACCACTGAGCTACCCCACTCCCCTCTCTCTCTCTCTCTCTCTATATATATATATATATATATATATATATTAGGAAAAATTTTGCCATATTATTTAGTGCTGAAAATTTAAATATAAATATGTATTTTTCAACAAGATGCCACAAATTTGGAGACAAAGAGTTATTTGTCCGCTTCATAAGAAGAAGTTGGACCATTTAGATTTGAGAGGGTGTAAAGTTTAGTATACCTGGGCTCAGAAATAAACACTCAAAATGACATATCCCAGGAGATCAACCGAAGAACTGCAGCAGCCAATCAAAGCTATTTTGAGCTAGCAAAATACTTCAAAAGCAGACACCTCTCTGAAAAGACGAAGATCGGCCTATATAAGACCCTGATTCTTCCGGTACTTCACTAGAGCCAGTGAGAACTTCCTTGTTCGTAACATAATAAGGAGCATTGACTATTATACGGAGGACTTTAGACTGGAAGAATTGGATGCATTTGATGTTCGAAAATTTAGTTGTTCCCCACAGTTTAAGTCCGTAGGTCCAGATGGTCCATAGTCAGTATGGTCTTGTATATTGATTTTCTGTTAAGTAGTCTGTATAACTGGCCAAGTCATCGGTTAAGCTCTTGTCTTTTAAGTCTGGTATGTGGGTTCCATGTTAGTCTTTTGTCTAAAAGGAATCCAAGATACCGAGCTGTGTCTGAGATGAGAAGAGGTACTGCATTGAAAAGAATATGTGGACAGGATCTGCATTGGAGGGTAAAGGTCACATGCTTGCATTTGGATTCATTGATCTTGATGCGCTAATTAACGAGTTATATTGTATCATAAATTTCAAAAACCAAAAGGCATTTCCTGTAAAGTAGACTAAATACATTTTTGTTCAAATAAGTAGTTAGGTATTTTTTTTGAGATGTGAAAAACGAATATCCACCTTGTTTCTTCCTAAAAAAATATTTGCTCAAGATACTAGACCCGTTTTAAATAAATATTATCTTTGGCAGATAGCTAAAAATATGGGCACAATTTGGACCAACGGACGTACCAATGTAGGAGTAAATAAATACGAATTTTTATAGCAATCAAAAATTAAAATTTTCTACACAACATATTTTTTGCCTAGGCTTGACCCTTTTTAATTTTGTAGACAACCAAACAAACTGTGATAACTTTAGAAACACTCCACCGATCCGCACGCAACTTGGGTCTTGAAACGTCCTCCTGAGCACCTTTGCACAACCAAATTACACGGCTCTACATTGATATTATATCTCACTTGAAAACAGCCTCATTCCATGTTTTTTTATGTGAATGCGAATTTCCTCATAAAAATCATCAGTTAGTTCTAGTTTCAAGGATATAGTTACTTTTTTTGTAATATGGGGAAATTTCCTGCTCCTGGGTTGGTTGGATTGATTTCTGTCTGTGAATCGCGGGAAACGACAACTGCTACTTTTGCATCACTCCTCCTCATCATCATGGAATGTCTCGAAAGAGGAAATCTGAAGTGGATTTACGCTGACGTTCCTTCTGCTATGCGGCCAATACCACGCGGGGACGAATTGCTTGTCCCAAGGCCTCCTGAACACTATGACTTGAATGAGTACGAGGATAATGAAGAGGAAAATTCCTTAGGAGGAATCCCATTAGATGATTCTGATTTTCCTATCGAACAAGAAAGAAAACCCCACTTGCTTATTCAAGCTCCGTGATTTGATTCGAGACCTGCATCTGCCCAAAGAAATAACAGAACTTTTGGAATTAAGATTGAAGCAATAGAACTTCTTACAACCTAGTGCAAATATGACAATGTAAAAAAATCGACAGAAAGACTTGATCCTCATTTTCTAAAAGTATAAGAACCTTGTTATCTGTTTTGATGTCCCAGATCTGATGACAACATTAAATCTCAATCACAACCCTTCTGAATGGAAGCTGTTCATAGATTCATCAAAGCTATCCTTCAAGGCAGTTCTGTTGCACAATGGCAATTTACTTCCCTCTATCCCAATCGGCCATACTGTCCACATGAAGGAAACTTACCAAACCCTTTTAAAATTCATCAAATACCAGGACTACCAATGGCAAATCTGTGGGTACATGAAAGTGGTGGCTATTCTTCTTGGCATGCAACAGGGATATACTAAGTAAGGTTGTTTCTTATGTCAGTGGGAAATAATACGCTCGTAAGGAATACCACGTGGTACTTTGTGCTCCGACTCCAATGGAATTTCGAGTGGAAACCTATGCCAATATGTAGTGCCTAACATGTACTAATTTGTACCCCAAAAATTAGTACATACCAGGTAATAAATATTGGCATAAGTTTTAACTCGAAATTCCATAGGTGCCGGGCCAGGGACGTGGGTCTCCCTGACCTGACACTCTTGCGAGCTTTATATCTGCGGTCCCTGACGAATACTAATTATAATTTTTGGGGTAAAAATTAGTACATATTAGGTACTAAATATTGGCATAGGTTTCAACTCGAAATTCCATAGGTTCCGGAGAGTTACATGGACCTCTTTCTATCATCTCACCATCTGATACAAATAACGTATAATATCCGCACTCCTACAGTCCACCCTCGAACTATCACATTCCGAAACCTAGATACCTTACTCCAGAAAAAATATTACCTAACCTAGTAACCTTAGATTGGAATGGAATATATTATTGCCCCTCTATCGACACTATGGTTGATATTCTCACTACCATTCTTCTCAATACCCACCCACGCTCCTCTCAAAATCTCTACATTTCGTCATCGGCCTGCTCCTTTGATAGGTCAGGGAATTAAGGATCTGCAGAAGAGACGTGACACTGCCTTTAGACGGACTAGGCTTTCAGATGATTAACAAGCATTCAGGGTGCTACGTAACATGACACAGACAAGGATCCGACAAGCGAAAGCTACTTACTTCCATTAAGCCCTTTTTTCCACAGGCGGATCTACGGGGGGGGGACTATCGGGCTGAAGCCCTCCAAAATGATAAAATCTAATAATTTTACTCAGAAAAAAATATTAAAAACTACCTCTTAAAGTATTCTTGTTTGTTTAATTATAATAATTATGATTTCAAGAACCACTTAAACACCATTTCATATAGGTAGTGAATTTCTTCTTTTTTTTCAAATTAATTATCGTTATATGTAAAAAAAAAAAAAAACCTTTCGGGCTGAAGCCTCCCCCCCAAAATTAAATCCTAGATCCGCTAATCCTTTCTTCAGCTCCTGATATGAAATCAAAATGGCTTCTGCTTCATAAATTTTCCCTCTGTGAACCTTCCAGATCCTCTTCCTCAGTTTTTCCAATATGACCTGATGATTTAAACTCCCACTTTATATCTGTTGCCTCCAATTCTTTACCCTCCCCTTCCGGCTTTTCTCCAGAGGTATCATTTAACGAAAATAAATTTTAATCCCTTAAATTAATTAAATCCCGGACCAATTCCGTAGGCCCAGACAGCATTCCTATCAAACTAATAAAATTATATCTCCCTGGAATCCTCCTAGCTCTCCTTTTCATCTACAATTTCTCCCTGCAGAATTCAATATTCCCGTCCTCTTGGAAAAAACCTATAAAAAAGCATATCTCCTCTTCTAACGACCTAAATGATTCAATCCTCCATTGTTCCCACCACCTTTACGACAACGATTCTCAAATCTATCTCTCAATTTTCCCCGCTGGGTTATTGGTAGCATTTGCCAAAATTTAAGAAGATTTAAATCAAATCAGTGCCTGGAAAAACTTAAACGGATTAAGACTAACTGCTGCTAAAACTCAGGCTGTTGTCATTGGTTCCAAGGCCCTTCTTAGATCCCACACCAACTTTTCTTCACTCTACCTTAATAACCACCCCATCACCCCTCTGTTAAAAATTTAGGTTTTTTCATAGATCAAACCTCTTGGAATCACCATATCTCCCGTCGTGCAATTTCTTCCCTCAAACTGTTCCGTCGCCTTCGCCATCTTCTATCCCAAAATACTCGTATACTTCTAGTTTCCTCTCTCATCTTCCCCCAGTTTGACTACAGCTGTGTGGTGTACGATGGCCTCTCGGTGCAGCTCCGTGATAGACTGAAAATACTTATGACTCCTGCTCCCGTGTCTCCCACCACTACACTGAGTCAGGGTGGCTCTTCCCCTCCTTAAGAAGACAATATTTCCATGGCACATTCCTTTATCAAATCATTAACAATAATCGTCCTTCTTAGGCCTACAGCCTTCTCCAATTTAAGCCCTCAATCCATTCCCTCACCACAAGATCTCGACCTTCTGACCTATATATTCCGACTTATAGATCTGCCACAATCCAAAACTCCTTTTTAGCCCGCTCTGTCAATTTCTGGAATTCCCTCCCATTCAAAATTCGGCATGCCCCTCCATATCCACATTCAAAAACTTGCTATTCCAATTCATGTTCCAAAAACAGCCAGACACTTGCTGACTTTTGATATATATATATATATATATATATATATATATATATATATATTGCATAGCAATCATATAATCAAACGATAGATCCATTTTTTTTAATATACAAATAAAGTTTTTTTATTAAAAGAAGTTATTCTATTTTTCGTTCTTTATTTCTTAAAGTGTATATTTATGTTATTCTACCATTACATATAATTTTAAATGTTTTGTTCATAGTTTTAAGTGTTTTGAACGTAGTTTTATCTGTAGCTTGTTTACTTAAGGTTTTCTTTACTTGTTAGTTTATTTTTTAAATTTTATTTATTGTTTCGAACTTTTAGACCAGTATTAGTCTTTTCTTTTTGTACAATTTTGTCATTCTAAAGGGACTTCGTCCCAGAATAAAGTTTTTTTCTATCTATCTATCTAATGAGCAATTGATGGTGTCAACATCAAACCTTCCGGCTAAGCCTTTTGTTATTATTATTTATAATTAAAATAAAAATAAATATAATTACTTACTTTTACTGATCACTCAAACCACATTTTTCTCTTCAATTATTCACTATAGTCAACCATCGATCCACAATTATTTTCAGTTTTCTTATAACACTTGTCCTCAGAGGTGGCCAGAAGGGGGTTTTATGGCGCAAGTTGCGCCATCATAGTAAATGAGGGGGTTAAGAATTTCAAGATGAATAGTTTCAAATCAAAAGATAAGTGGAATCAAGGAATAGATCACAGGATGTGTAATGGTTTATAATCTAGAATAATCCAAATTCTACTTTCGTTTGCGTTGTTTTTAAGAAGAGAGGAATAAAATATCTTGGGAGTGGAGGGCGCCATCAGCCTTGGAGGTGGGGGGATGGGCACCCCAGTATGTCATTACTATTATTTAATATCTTATCAGTTATTACTTGGTCACTATATTGGTTCATCAGAGTACTATACTCATTTCTTTTGTTATTATATAAGATTAGGAATTGACCTATACAGAAATTTTGGCTGGTACCGATACAAATATTTTAAAGGCAGATATATCAGTTTTTTCCTTTACAGTGGGGTGTCCAGAAGAGGATTTCATGGAGCATTGCACCATCAAATTTTTTAAGGGACCAAATTTCAATGGATTTATAAATTTTTGGAATACAAGTTTCAACCCAGATGACATAAGCATGGACCAGACTGCAGCAAGTTTGACTGTATATGATCTATGATTTTTCCAATTCTATTTTTTCTTGCATGTTTTCAAGAAGTGATGATGGAATTTCTTTGTAGGGGAGGGGGATGCGCACTTCTGATTTTCAGTCAAGATTTGTAAAGTTTACCTGGAATATTCTACTTATTGCTAAATAAATGAATAAATAGACCCTCTATGTATCGGCCTATACACAAATTTTGGCCAATAAAAGAGAGATAAATCTATACATCAGCATATGGGCCCTTCTTTCCGTAGAATATTGCTGAATGAAAATGGCAATCAGTCATCCAGAGTTATATATATAAATTTTATCTTGGTTGCCTGGGTAAAAAATTTGAATTTTTCATAAGTCATACCCTGAACAACAAAAAAACAACTTAAGACTCCCTATTTCATGACAAGGTTACTAGACTATTGATTTTATCTTGAACATTTGTAAGATTTTTTACAATTTTCATTTTTCCTGGTGTTTAATTTCTAATTCAAAATAAACTTGACGTAATTATTATCTTCTTAGAGTAGTCAGGAGAAATTTAAAATGAAGAAACCTGAGGCAGTATAAGGAGATAATTACTAATGTACACAGAATTGGCCTAAACCATAGGATGGTCTACCTACCAATACGGGCTATAGGCTGAAGCAACCCTTCTAAAATGGAAAAATGATTTATTTTTCATTGGTCCATATTTATTACTGAGTTTAAAATTATAATAAACACGCATGCACTAAATATAACTATTTCCATACAAATCAATTTAAGTAAAATACAAGATAGAATAAGAATATTCTATAAATAAAATGAATACATCAAGGGAAGATCAACCTGACACCAATTAGTGGTGAATTTAATATTCTTACTTCATTTATTTATTAATACACCTTATATACAGTCCACAACTGGATTATAGTCACTATGTAAGTGTGGTTGAGAGGTTATATAATGTTATTTCTACTATGCACCCCTTAAGGGCTATTACTTAAATTACTAAAGATATTGTTTCATTAGAATTCCAGTTTAGTAATATTTACATACGAACTGTTAAGCCCTTTTGTGTCCGTCTGAAAATTACACACTGCGTTTAGATTTTTAGTAATCTTTATTTCCAATTTCAAAAGAGCTGATTCAAGTGGTTTTATCATCGTCCCACACTCAGATGAATAATTGAGGACGGGCAGGATCAGAGTGTTATAGATTTGTATTTTTGTGGTCCAAGAAAATTTACTTATTAGCTACCATAATTTATTAGAGTATTAGTCTCTGAATCTCTGGTTGCATATTATTAGTTGAGTTCAACTATATTCCAAGATAAATAAGTTCCTCGACACATTCTACGTTGATGAAGTCCCTTAACTTTTACTCTCTCTCCTAGATATTTTCCTCTTTTAGGATTACAGAGCATATACCTCGTTTTGTACTCATTCACCTGCAGTCCAAATTTAACAGCTGCTTTTTGTAGATTTAGGAATGCGCTCTCCATACTCATCCAAATCATCGGCATAAGCAAGAATTTGGCACGATTTGTTGAAAATCGTCCCTCCTATTTGGATTCTTGACTCTCTTGTGGCACATCGAAAAGCAAGCATGCTAAACAATCACCTAATCTGAGTCCCTTTTGACAATGGAAAAACTCAAGATGTATCTCTGGACAATCACCAAAAACTGCGTAACATTGTGATTCTGACAAGGCGGACGGACTAGCTTTGAAGGGATGTCAAGAGCAATCATTCCTTCATACAGCCCTTCTCGAATCACGCTGTCATAGGTACCTCGGAAATCCACAAAGATGGGAGAATGTCTGTATATTATTCTCAGCCGCTCTCTTAATCATCGTTCTTACCGAGATTTGGTCCGTAGCTTTGCCTTTCATTAAGCGTGCTTGATATTGGTCTATTTTCTTTTCAACAAAAGGTTTACATTGGTAAATAACAAAACATCACTGACTTATAAGAAAAATTAAGGATGAAACAAAATTGTAATGAATTTCAGTCAAAATTTTTTTAATGAGTTCAGCGATGTTTTGCCACAAACATGTGGATCATCATCAGGGTTATCGTTTAGAAGTCGAGATAAGAACTAACCTTTTTAACATAATAAAAATTGACTGTAAAGGATATGATTAATTTTTAATCAATAAGCAATTCCAGTATATTTAATTTTTTAATTAATTATTGATGTACAATGACAATGAACATAATGAGGTAGAAGAAAAGACAGATTGAAAATGCCTTAACAGCATTAGAGACATGATGGTTAGGATAAAATAAGTAAATAAAATTAGTTCATAAAGTAGATCAAGGTTCAACCTTCAACAGTTCCACATCAAAGATTAGGGTGGCATTAGGTGGTATAGTATATCTGCTGTCAAGGAAAATAACAATATAGATTAAATGAAAAAATAAAATGTTATAATATATCTTATATTATAAATAGAACACATCATAATAAAAACAAAAATACAGAAGCTATACCTAACTTATCAAAGCCCCATGAAGTTGAAATCATAAACATACTTCAAATATTTCTGAGCATGATTTGTCTTGAACACGGTAGCTGTGGTTAAGGTCCCCAGCGTCCGATAGCTTAATATCAGATGTAATAATTATTTATGTTTGAATTCATCTTTACATCTATCCAACACCCATTCAAATATTTTTAAAAATTAATATTTTAGAGACTTCATAAAATAGGCAAAATTCGAAACAATCCTGTCAAAAAATTAGACAAATTTTGGATCCCAGAGACCGTAGCCACAGCTATGTTAAAGCACGGCTTCAATTTTGATAGCACTTCCTTTCTACCTGCCAGTCTCCTCAATAATCCATACTAATCTATGTTTCATTAACATATATATTTTCTATTAGTCATTAACATGTTTATCTACATGTCAATAACAATAAAGACATCCCTTCCATAACAGGTTTTGCAGTTAATTTCTGACAGAATCTCTAACCAATATGGTCAACTATTGTATCTTTACTATAATAAATCATCTTTTTCAAGATTTTAATATCAGGTTACAAGCCCCAATATATGGCCATTCACGGTTATAAAAAGTTTATAAAAATATAGATATAATAAAAAACTGTTTGTACATATTATACATGTACTGTAAATGTAATAAAAAAAAGGATATATTCCAGGGTGTCCACGGGATCCATATGCAAAGTCTGGGCTGCATACAAGCCTTGCTCTCTCACCAACGCACATCTGGAAATAGTAAATAATAATTAAAAATAACTTAATAGTAATAACAGATTAAGTAAATAATTTAGAATTCAATTATCTTAAGCTTGTTGTTAATTTACTAGAGTACTTATAAAAAGATTAAATATTCATAATTTTAATAAGTTATCACATCACAACAAAATAACATGAAAAACTTTATTAGATTGAATATAATAAACTTTTTTCTTTTGGTAACTATTTTCCAGTACAACAATATTCCAGAACATTTTTTTTTTTTTTTTTGGGTTACGTAGAGCATTACCAGCAAGGTCATCAACAGCCGTTGGTTAATTTGGATTTTATTGGGTTTTTTTTTTGGATATTCACTAATCTGAACACGATAGAAAATCTACCGAAAAAGGTTTCCAGCCTGCAGGGACTGACCAGCTAGAGTCCAGAAGGCTCTAATCTAAATTCCCACATATCAGGTGACGGTTTGCTGATGTTGGAGACACAAGGATGGATCAGAGAATGTGGATAAAAACCATGTAAGCTACCCTAAATACATTAAGAAATTCCACTAATGTTTAAATTTCAGATTTTGTATAACAGTAGTGTCTGGTCTAGAGTTATATTTTTTTGTTTTACAAAGAGGGTGTGTTAGCACACGTTTACATTTCCTTAGAAATCCCTTTGCTCATTTTTTTTCTTTGCTTCTTATTGTATAAGAATTAAAAGAATATGAGCCTATGAATGTAAATATCTCAAGTATATATGTGCCTGTTTTTTTAAAAAAATCTAATGACTTTTTCAAATTATTCTTATCAAATCAAAAATAGACCACATGTTATCTTTATATTACTTTATGTACTACTAGTCATTTTTATTATTATTGTTTTTAATATAACTTTTATGTGAATATCTTACTTTGAAATACTCACCCAGTGAGTAAAAATCCCACCCAACTTTTTTTGGGTTCAACAGTACAGATGGTTAACCACTACCTCAATCACAGCATTACTAGTATTTATAAATTGTCTTAAAAACTCTTTATTTATTATTTGTATACTACTATTATGTATGTTATCCAAAATAAATTAATTTTCCTGGTAACTTAAAAATCCTTAGCACCTGTTAGGGTGAAAACTTAGATATACCACAAAAATTTGATTTGGTTACTAAAATTAATGAGTAAAACCATTTCTAATTTCATCTCAATCTGAGAAGGTTTGTCAAAGTATGGTTTAAGTTATATGGAAAGACCCATAAGTTTGACAGCTAATTTTACATACAATTTTTTTTTTTTTTTTAATATGAGTATTGTTTTCTAAAGATTATTTTTCATGTTATTATTACCTGAGCTACTCCTTGATCCCAACCTTTGATCACTTCACCTTTGCCTAACCTAAACTTAAATGGGACGCCACGATCTCTTGATGAGTCGAACTTAACTCCATTTTCTAAAGTCCCTGAAATAGTCATTAAGAAAATTTTAAGTTAAAGATTGTAGAACAAAAATGTTGAAGCAATACCTGTAAAAAAATGAGGAAACAAATTATAATTAGGATTGATAATGAAAGAAGTCTTGACACATTAGTAATTTTGAAATCTTTGTTCTTAATATTGAAGATAAGACTACTTAGCTTGTTAAACCAAACAAGCAAGTTCTGAAACTGTATATCATTCTATAGTCGAAACCATATGACAGGAATAACACTCACTTACATTCATTCAATCAGAAGATGTTTTCAGAGATTCTAAGGGTTGATAACTGTATGTTACAATATACACTGACAGACAAAAAATTCCACCCACTTGATTTTTTCATGTTTTCATCTAAAAATATTTCTGCATTGGATTGTTCTATTGTTTTTAATGGATAAATAGGTAATCTTTTTGTTTGTTTTCAATTAGGAATGTTAATATAGAGGACAATAACCCTTAATTCAATGAAATGATTCTAGATTCCAATGTTTACTTTCTATGGAATCAAAATGTTTATTCAGTATCATTAGTTCAGTGCAGTTTCTTGCAGCACATTTCTTAGTCTCCGGCTTATAATTTTTTCAATATTAAGTTTAAAAATGCCTCTTAGTGCTGAGGATGTTGCGCGTGGTGTGGCACTTATTGATGATGGACGTTCCATTAGATATGCAGCTAATGCCATCAGAGTTCCATATGAAACTTTACGAGACGCCATCAGGCGTTTTCGGGAAACTGGTTCTTACAATAGAACTAGGCCCGGTTTCTGGACGGCCTAGGGTAACAGAACCACGGGATGACCGGTTTTTGACTTTGAGAATTTTACGAAACCGGCACCTTACCGTTGTTCAAGCGATTCATCAGCTCGAAGAAGTCCGAGGTGTGCAAATTTCTGAACGTACCTCTTGGAGAAGATTAAATGAGTATGGATTAATGGCTTTTCGTCCAGTAAGAGGACCAGAGTTGACCAGAACTCACAGAGTAACACGGCTGGCTTTTGCTCGAGAACACAGCCATCGACTATGGACGAATGATGAGTCAAGATTCGCTCTTCGATCTCCAGACGGGCGTGAAAGTGTGTGGAGAAGAAGAAACGAAAGATATGCAGCCAGTAATTTTTCCCAGAGCCAACCTTTCCAACGTGGTTCCTTAATGGCGTGGGCTGGGATTTCAATGGAGCGCCGCACAGAATTGGTTGTTGTTCGTGGAGGGTCTTTGACGGTCATTCGCTATGTAGATGAGATTTTGGAACCTCATGTGTTGCCTATCCTAAACGAAATCGGCGATCGCTCTATTCTAATGCACGCCCACATAGTGCAGGCTTTCCTTCAACAGAACAATATTGAGGTTTTAGCCAGGCCAGCACGTTCTCCAGATTTGAACCCCATTGAGCATTTATGGGATAACCTCAGAAGACGAATAAGAGCGCGTGCAACACTTCCTGATACACTGCAGGACCTTAAAAGGGCTCTTCGGAAGGAATGGGCTATCCTCCAGCAAAGGGACATTTCCCGACTGGTGGAAAGTATGACGAGGCGTCTTCAAGAAGTAGTGAAGGCAAGAGGAGGAAACATGCGCTACTAAACGATGATGTAATTAATTTCTTTTAGAATAATAATGGTTTTTCAATTTTTTTTTCTCTGATCTTTCTTACCCAATGTGGGTGGAATTTTTTGCCTGTCAGTGTAGATTTTATCAAGTTTTGTTGATTTTTTTTATTCTCCTAAGTCATTTTTTCCTTGACAATATACTTAAAAAATCTGGTGCATCACATAACTATCACTTCCACCCCCCTCTCTCTTATTAATAGAAATAAGTATATTCAGACAAAGGAAAGTGAAAGTAAAAATTATAGATATAGCATTTCCAAGTCAATTTCAACCTTTTCCAAGTCAAATTCAACCTTTTCCAAATCAAATTAAACTTTTTCCAAGTCAAATTCAACCTTTTCCATTTCAAATTAAACTTTTTCCATTTCAAATTCAACCTTTTTTTATTTATTTAATTATCTTTAATTTTTCGATGCATGGGTCTGTTATCGTATGAGTAGTTTTTTAAAATAACCTCCTTTTTAAGATTACGTGACTGCGTTTCGAATTATTTAAGTTTTTTATGGGGGTATTTAAGTTCGAAGGGTGTATTTTTATGTTTCCCGATCAGTAAATTTTTAAAATGACATCTATTTTATGTTTACGCCACTGTGTTTTGATTTATTTAAGTTTTTAGAATTTATCCAATATAAAGGTCTACTTTTTTGTTTCCGAAGCCGTAGATTTTGAAAACGACCTCCATTTTAAGATTAGGCCACCGCGTTTCGACTTATTTGAGTTTTTCGGATATTTTTCATATGAGGGTGTATTTTTATGTATCCGGAGCTGTAGATTTTGAAAACGACCTCCATTTTAAGATTAGGCCACCGCGTTTCTACTTATTTGAGTTTTTCGGATATTTTTCATATGAGGGAGTATTTTTATGTATCCGGAGCTGTAGATTTTGAAAATGACCTCCATTTTAAGATTAGGCCACCGCGTTTCGACTTATTTGAGTTTTTCGGATTTTTTTCATATGAGGGTGTATTTTTATGTTTCCGGAGCTGTAGATTTTGAAAATGACCTCCATTTTATAATTACGCCACTGCGTTTTGACTTATTTAAGTTTTTCGAATTTATCCAATATTAAGGTCTACTTTTATGTTTCTTGAGCCGTAGATTTTGAAAATGACATCCATTTAATGATGACGCCATTGCATTTTGACTTATTTAAGTTTTTCGAATTTATCCAATATTAAGGTCTACTTTTATGTTTCTTGAGCCGTAGATTTTGAAAATGACATCCATTTAATGATGACGCCATAGCATTTTGACTTATTTAAGTTTTTCGAATTTATCCAATTTAAAGGTCTACTTTTATGTTTTCGGAACCGTAGATTCTGAAAATGACCTCTATTTTATGATTAGGCAACTGCGTTTCAACTTATTTAAATTTTTAGAATTTAACAAGTATAAAGGTCTAATTTTATGTTTCTGGAGCAGTAGATTTCCCCCATTTTGTAAATGACAAAATTTAAAGTTTATGCCACTGTTTTGGATTATAAAAGTTTTTTTTTTTTACTTTTTCGGTATAAGGATCTACTTATATGTTATCCGAGACGTATTGAAATTTTTCTAATCTTTAATATTTAAATTTATCTAATATTTAAGCTCCATTTTATGATTAAGCCGCTGCATCTTGATTAATTAGGCTTCATTTTGGATTTTTTCAATACAAAGTTTCATCAATATGTTTTAGAGTATGAATAAATAAATAAATATTATGAAGCTAAAGTAAAATTAACCACAGAATACAAACTAAAAAGCCGAAAAGCAACTAGTAATAAATTTAACCTTCCGTATTCAGATTTTTCAGCTAATTGTTCGAAATCTTATAATTTTGTGATAGGAGACCACAACATTAAAAAAGATAACTAAAATTAAATTAAAAATGAGACAATACATATTTTATTTATTTTGATTAGATATTTTTATTTATTTATTGAAAAATAAATTAATCCTTCGTATTATGTTTTTTATTCGAAGGAAAAATCAAAAACACTTAACAAAACCGAAACACAGTGGCCTAATCTTAAAATGTAAGTCGTTTTAAAAACTAAGGCTCCGGCATCATAAAAGTAGACCTTTAAATTGGATAAATTCGAAAAACTTGAATAAGCCGAACGCAGTGGCGTAATCTTAAAATGGAGGTCATTTTCAAAATCTACGACTCCGGAAACATAAGAATACACTCTTTTATGAAAAAAATTCGAAACACTTAAAGAAAACGAAATGCGGTGGCCTAATCTTAAAATGGAGGTCGTTTTCAAAATCTACGGCTCCGGAAACATAAGAATACATCCTCATATGAAAAAAATCCGAAAAACTCAAAGAAATTGAAATGCGGTGGCCTAATCTTAAAATGGAGGTCGTTTTCAAAATCTACGGCTCCGGAAACATAAGAATACATCCTCATATGAAAAAAATCCGAAAAACTCAAATAAGTCGAAACGCGGTGGCCTAATCTTAAAATGGAGGTCATTTTCAAAATCTACAGCTCCGGAAACATAAAAATACACCCTCATATGAAAAATATCCGAAAAACTCAAATAAGTCAAAACGCGGTGGCCTAATCTTAAAATGAAGGTCGTTTTCAAAATCTACGGCTCCGGAAACATAAAAGTAGACCTTTATATTGGATAAATTCTAAAAACTTAAATAAGTCAAAACACAGTGGCGTAAACATAAAATGGATGTCATTTTCAAAATTTACTGATCGGGAAACATAAAAATACACCCACATATCGAATTTGTCAAAAAAACTTAAATGATTCGAAACGCAGTCACGTAATCTTAAAATGGAGGTTATTTTCAAAACTAGGTACAGGACAGCATAATACTAGTCCCTAATAAATCCGAATTGGTACAATAAATCGATATCGGTAAGTGAAAATTCTACTTAGGAGAGCATAATAATAGACTTTCATATTGGAGGGGGGGAGGGGATGGCCATTATTTAAAAAAAAAATATAAAATTTACAAAAACTTAAAACATTAATTTGAAATGAAAACGGTTGAATTTGAATTGGAAAAGGTTTAATTTGAAATGGAAATGGTTGAATTGACTTGGAAAAAGTTTGATTTGATCTGGAAAAGGTTGAATTTGACTTGGAAAAGGTTGAATTTGGCTTGGAAATAATTGAATATAACATAGAAATATCGCACTGAAAAAATCTAAAATGTTAAAATAAATGGATATGCAACTGCGTAATCAATTTTTTTTCTGTATTTTTTAAAAGCTATGCCGTCGATAATATAGTAAGTGGCCTTCATTTAGGAAAAAATCGAAAATTGACAAAAATTCTAAAGTTGAATTTGAAATGGAAAAGGTTTAATTTGACTTGGAAAAGGTTGAATTGGAAATGGAAAAGGTTTAATTTGACTTGGAAAAGGTTTAATTTGATTTGGAAAAGGTTGAAATTGACTTGGAAATGCTATAGTAAGAAGAATTATTTAAAACAATTAATTACCATATGTTTTTCACAGCCATTTTATGTATTATATTTATTTTGTTTGACACTATCCATTACCCTTTGTGACTGTATATTGCAATTATCTATTTGATTACAATGAATAATGAAGTGTCATGAAATATTTTTAGTACGACAAGAGACAGTACTACTGATGAGCAGCTATTTTTATATTGCTGTAATCTATACAATAAAACATAAAATTTATGAAAATTACATATGATATGTACATAATATTGTCAGAGCCCGTATTATATTAAACTCATGTTAGGTATGGAAGACTGTTCTATTCTTTCGGGCGAGCTCGTATTCTTTTGGTTCCTCCATTGCAACTATTCCGCGTTGTGATCTCTTATTTCTCCTTTAGTTAATTATCAAATTCTTTCATATTTTATATTACAGCATTTTTTATATTAGAGATCAATGTGAAATGGTTAATTATTCAAAAAAAAAAAAAAAGTGATAGGTACTTAGGAGGAAGAAATATTGAAAATTAGCCATTTAAGCCCTGTTAGAGAACATCAATGAGAATAAAACCTACATTATATTTTCTAATCATATCCTTTAGGTTCGTGGCATTTTTTAAAAGTTTTTATAAAATATTAGGCCAAAGGTCAGCAAATGTACACAGTTTTTATATCCTGTATTATTTATTCGACGTTTAGGCTTCAGGAACCATTTTCAAGATCGTGCAAACTAATTTCAATTGCATTGTTATACTTTAAACTACATCATATAAAACATATATTAATTCAATAACAATCAGTTATTTAAACAGTCCAACCGCAAAAAATATTTTTTGGGGTTGGGGTATGATTTACTTTTATATTTTTCTCATTCTGAAATTGTAGATCAGGATTTTCTTTATCATGCTTTTGTTTTTTAGTATTATCTACATTAAAACAGTTTGAGATTAGATTTGTTATTTTATTTCTGGTCTTGTTTTGATTATTTTTTATATTGGTATCGATGTTTGGACCCTTCGGTTCTATCCATTAAATTTTTAGCTGTATTGATTTTCTGTTGTGTATTATGGTTACTATGCCAATTTCGTATCCTGTTGCTTGTTATAACTTTTTTACACCACGATGTTTTTAGTATCCGTTTCATTTCTATTTATATTCATGTCCAAGAATCTAATTTCGTTGTTTTCTTCTACTTCATTTGTAAATTTTAGTTTATTTGATAATGAATTTAATATGTTAATTTTTTTATTTCATTTTAATCGTCAGGATATCGTTAACATACTTTATAAAAATCTTAGAGATTTTATTAAATTTCTTTATAGCTTTATCCAACAGGCTATTTAGGTATATCCCACTAAGATTGATCGATATAGCCTCCCACTCCCATCGGTAGTCCATTTCTAATTTTAAAGAAATTACTATTCGATATAGCCTCCCACACCCATCGATAGTCCATTTCTAATTTTAAAGAAATTACTATTGTATGTGAAGTATCCGTTGTCACAGATTAATTTTATCCCCTCCAGGAACAGTGCTTTATTTTAAATCGTCGTATGGGGTTCGATTTCCTCCCAATTTGTTTCCAATATCTTGTATAGTACTTTAAGGGAAATATTTGTAAAGAAGGATTCCGCATCATAACTGACTAGGCATTGATTATCTTCAATTTTATTTAAGCTATTCATCTTATCTCTGACTTACATAGAGTTCTTTACGTGATATGTATTTTTATTATCAAGATTATTTAGTACTGGATTTAGAAATTTTGCTAGTTTTTCAGTTATCCCGTTAATATCATCTGGATTATATGTATAGTCGGGTGACTATGTTTGTTTTAGTCCAGTTAGAGCATGAAATATATTTACGAAATACACAGTTTACCCATCTTTCGATTAGAACATACATACATTTTTACATCAATACCAAATGAAATAGGTATTCATATAGAAACCAGGTTGTTACAAAAATCCTTGTGGATGAACATGAACCTTAAGTCCAAAGCTCATAATCAATTCTATAAGAATGATTTTGTTCCTACTATTTATGTTGATGTTAACTTTGACTAATCCTTAAATTCCTTGTGACTTAATTGGCTTTAGAGGGTCATTTATATTTTAAAAACGCAAGTTCAATGTCAGGAGAAATATCGAGATTAGCGATCTTTAGAGACATTGGTGAAAAAAAATCTAAGCGCAAAGACGCCCACCAGAGAAATTTGTGTCATAGGAGGAGAGTTAGTTATATTCATCAAAATACTGCGACACTTCAGTACAGGCATTTTAACAATGGGAATATGAGCATTGCAGATGAACCCAGATCAGGTCGTCCATCGGTCATTGATGATAACGTTCTTCTTGAATATGTGAACCAGGACCTATTTACAACTACTCGATATTTTCAGCCATAGTAGGGGCTTCTAATGTCACAGTGGTCCTTCATCTTAAAAACCTGGACACATGGAATTAAAGACCAAGGTCTGACCCACATGACTTGACAGAGGCTCAAGTTCAACAGCGAGTTGATATTTGCAAAATTTTGTTTCAAAATCTGAAAGATGACTAGTTCTGGAAAATAATTATCACAAGTGACAAAAAGCGGATATTTTTAAAAATCTTAGCACACATAAGCAGTGGGTACGGCCAGGTGAACCTGCACAACCGGGGTTTCGCCAACAACGGTTGGGGGAAAAAGTGATGCTTTGTGGAACTTTGAAGGTGTTTTGCATTTTGAGCTTGTTTCTGATGGTGAGGCAGTGAAATCAAAACAGCTAGACAAAGTTTGAGCAATTTAAGTGCTAAGTACCCCAGGTGAACAGGTACCAAGCTATTTTGCAACACGACATTGACTCGGCACATCGTTCTCATTTGACCAAGGAACAATTATTGGAACTGCAAGCAGTAAACCTTTTGCTTCATCCTGTGTGTAGACCAGATATTACACCATAAGATTATGGTTTGTTTAGATCAATGGCTCATTTATTTAAGGTCAGAACTATGATAATTACAAGATGGTTGAAAGTAGTGAAAACAATGGAATTTACTTTGAAAAGTAGTATTCGATAATATTTACAATATGTTACATGAAAGAAATAAAGCTATAATTATGCATAAGGACTTTTTAACAACATACTATATTTCATAAATTTCTATAACCATCAATAGCCAAATAAAATTAACAAATATAAATACAGTGTTTAATTCCTACAAAGATATTGTTTCGATAGACAACTGAAGAACACTTCACACTTGTAAATGGCACATGATATATAACCTAGACTTGAGTGTAACTTGGATCATATTGTTTCTTTACTTTACAGCAAGAAATGAACATGGTGGGGATTAAGGTTTAATGCAGGTGTTATAACTTGAATGTTAACAAACATTCTGAATAAGTGTCATTTCCCCAACCGATGCGACTATCCTTAACATTTATCATTTCTGAATTATTTTTTTTTTTTTAAGCAAAATCACAATAATTATAAAGCCAGAAATCCAAATATAACAAAACTTATAGAATTGAGATTAACAGTTAAGAGTAACTTTACAATGTAACAACAGAAATAAATGTATAAAATGATCAAGACAAGAAATTCATAAACTTCTTGTAATTTTAATGATTTGGCAATACTTTGAACAAATAATAATTTATTTATTATTGTTTGTGGAAAAGTGAAAATAATGAACTAGCATACACATTTCTATATCAAAGAATAAAAGTGAATGAAATATATCCTAACATGAATACTGGTATTATCACAAAGAGGTATTATTCGATACATTCGGCTATTTTCAACGTTCCATGTAGTGTGATCGAAGTGATCACGACACACGCATCATCTTGAAATGACCCTTGAGAATTACTATGTAATCCTTATGGAAAAACCCAACAAATGTAATCCTTATCATTAGTAAAATAAACAGCATTAATACTAGTAAAGTATGATTCAGAAAAAACATTTAAATAAACTATTAATGGAGATGCCTATCACAATATTAGAGCAACCGTTTTCAGTTTGTTGTGAACCAAAAGAAGATATTCAATACAATTAACATACACAACCGAGAGAGAGAGAGAGAATAAAAATAACAAAAAATAATATAGGTACTTCAAGATTAATTAAATAGGAGGACCAAGAACTAAATCCCCTTAGTGACAATTATGAATGAACAGTAACAAATAAATACTGATAGATGTAATAAGTTCACAATAGCCTATAGAAGTGTTAATACAGTTTTCAAACTTGACATTAGGCTATTATACCACTGAAAGATTATTACAATTGCACTGATTATGGCGAATAGAAACAGGAAGAGCTCATAACATTGACATTTCTTCCTATTTTAATAAAAATTTATTATTTTAAAAATAAATATAAAATTTCACCAATGTAAAGTGAAAACTGAACTGACAGTTAAAGTCATAATGAAATGAACAAAACAACTTACAAATTATACACTTGAGACAAATCAAAACTCATCGGTCATGTAATTAAAATCACACCCAATTATTAAGTTATCAATAACATGGCAAATATACTAGTATAAGAATTAAAAAAAAAAAAATAAAATAATTTAGATACATGGAGAGCTATTACAATTAATGGTAATATGGAATATAATATTATTTTCAACTCAAGTCTTTAGGTATGTATTAATATTAATAGTGATAAATATTGAATAAAAACATGTTTTCTTACCAGTGTAGTGGACAACAACGGTCTGGCCTACTTTTGGGAACGTTGACCCTGGTAATAAATTAAGATGTGAGAAAAAAATAGAAGCATCATTCTAGTAATATTTATAACACAGCTATGAGAAAAAACTGCTTTACCGTCTCCGGGGATAATTTGTTCAACTTCTACGCCCATTATGGCTTTAAATGCTGAAGAAATCTCAAAATAAAGTTAATATAAAAGACCCGTAAGAACGAAGAGAAAACCTTCACACTTCAGGAGTAACTAGACTCAAGCAATATGGCGTGCCCACGCTATGCTCAAGTAATGAAGTTGTAACGAGTTACTGAAATGTAGCAACTATTTCGCTCTGTTACACCTGGAAAATAGTCAAACTGCACCAATTTAAGGAACATTTACATTAATGTATAAATTTATAATGTAGACAAAGAAATGTGTAAATTAAATAATTGAGCATATATATTCATATAGGTTTCATACATATATAAAACATGTCCAATGTAACGGTTACATCAAATAACGATACCGTGGCGCCAGATGTTTCCGTTTGTACATTTAATTGGTTATATATTCAACGATAATTTGTTATGAATTGTTTAAAATTTTATCGTATTTAAAATAAATTACCTTGCGATCGACTAATGATTAAAAACTCATTGTTCAGCAAATGAATATTATCGATTAAAGCGCTACGTGGTGGAATCTCACTCATTTGAATTTGTGATCAATACAATTGCTTTTTGGGATAAACTCTGTATTATTATAAAACTCTTAGTAATTTTTAAAATGATCAATAAATTAAAATTTTATACATTTAATAATATAAACAGTTTTAATATATTTTAAAACATTCAAAATATGATATGCCTTAATGAATGATATAACTTTTATTTACTACTAAAAATACATAGTTATTAATACAAGCAGTTTAATTAGCATTTTTAGGATAAACAAATATACCCGTAACACCTAAAAGTTATTTACCGATTATATAAATGTATGCAAGGGTTTCCATAAGGGGGTTTCATGACACAAGTTATATCGTCAACATTTTTGAGGGTGGTATATTTTGAGGAGGTTTTGAAATTATTAGTGGCCACATTTTCACAGAGTTGTAAATTTAGGAATGAAAAGTTTAAAACCAAGAGACTAGGAGGAAACATGGAATAGGAGCTTATATATAATCATCAAGTTTAATGATATATGATCTACGATTTTTTTAATTCTATGTTCTACTTTCACTTGCGTTACTTTTAAGAATAAAGAGCAAAAATTATCTTTGGGTCAAGCACATCCAAGATTTTTAAAAATGAAACTATTTTATTCTAAGTTAATTAGAGAATTTTAATCTCATTCCTCCTTAAGTATATATATATATATGTATCACAAACCAAAAAAAAAAAAAAAAATTTTATAATTGTATTATTCCCAAAATGCAGTTTGATATATAAGATTAAAATTTAAAGAAAATATAAAGGATCTTTAAAATTACAAACTGTATTACCTTATTGAATTTGTGTGCAATAGAAAAAAAAAATCTGATGTATTTACCTGATTTTAATGACATAATTTCTTAATCTATAACATTGTTGATAAACATATGAAGAAAAAGTTATTTTCTAAATTAGGCTACAATTACAGTTAGAGGTGATACAATTATTGATTTTAATGTTATCAACAGATGTAAGATTGGTTTCAGTTGCTAAGAAAAATATAACACAGTGAATGTAATAGGAAGGTAACCTGACAGTATTGAATTTTTGTTTTAGTTTTGAATGATGTGTTGAGATTTGTAGATTGGTTTTTGAACAGAATTGAAGAATTGAGATCTGATGAACAAAGAGGTGGTTTCTGTATTAGTTCACTCAGATGATAAAGAAAAACAAGTAGGTAGAGACTAAATGATAGTTTAGTATCATTCACATACATTAGCTCATTTGTAATTAATTATAATGATAAAATCAATTTGTTTATAGATGTATAAATGTATAAGGTGCTAATGTATATAGGCACATCATTACCTATAATATTCAGTAGTTTATTTTCGAAAACCTATTGTTTCATTAGTAGAAAATTCAGTATTTAAAGAACTACCTATTTTAAACATTTAATTAGTTTATATTCTAATTTATTCTATAAAGATAGTTTTAAATTAACTTCATAATGAGTGATCAAAATAGGTAATTTATCAGATAATTTTTTTTCTGGAGGTTTTAACAAAAAGGTTGGATAAACACTAGATTCATGCCATAAATCATATGCATTGTCATATATTTTAGTACTACTAGTATTGGTAAGACAATTCCAGCTTGTGAGCCTGTTGGCCTCTCCATCACCCATATGATAATTTAGAGATTGCCACCCATTTCTGTACTTGGCCAACCTAGGAATGATTATTTTTATTTTTATAGAATTTCATGAAACAAAACTTTGGCTGACCTATTAATGTAAAGACCAGTTAAAAAAAGAACATCAAACCCGCACCTTTTGGCCTCCACAGTCTTAGCATTTAATATAACAAATGAAATTTAAGATACTGTGGATTAAAATTAGAAGATACTGCAGTCATATTTGAATAAAAAATGATTGAGATGCCACATTTCAGGCAGATAACAAATAAATTATGGTCAGTTGATCTTGATTTATTTATTATTTTAATAGCTAATGGATTTTTTAAAGCATTTATTTATTACATAAATATATAACTATTTTTACATGCATAGCTATTTCTCTATAGCTCTCATTTGTTTTTTAATCCATATAATTTTTTTTCACTACTTTACAATTGATTATTTTTGTTTGTATTTATCTTTTATGGTACTTCTAATGTATCATGTTTCACCTTATGTCAATTTTTTTTTAATCAATAAATATTGTTAATAAATTTAAGTTATGATTTAATATGTTAACATAAAAAACATTTTAAAAGAAAAACCCTTTCAAAATCAAAATAAATTTATGGTTTTTCTCATAATGTTAATTTGATCTAAACAAAAGCTCCGGCTTGAAACCTCATATATTTATATAAATGAAAAAACAAATTTATGGTCATGCAGTCAACCACTAAGACGTTTGTATTTTTGCAGAAAAATTCAATTTGGAGTCTTCCATTAGAAGGATTTTCACTTTCAAACTTCAAGACAAAATTTCCTATGATAATATATATACTGCAAGTATCTATAATAATATGAGTACTGCAAGTATAAGTATTTTACCTAAAATAAATATTGTAAAAATATGGGCGGTAGATACCAAGAGATTGTTCAAAATTCATGTCTTCTAGTTTGTACAGTAAACATTACAATCTTCAGATATAGTATAATTTATTACCTATTTTATAACGACATATTATACTAAAATATAAATATATAAAGTTACATGAATGTAATAATAAAAAATATTTTTTTTAAAACTTAGCTATTAAACTCATATGTTTATAATTTTGTCAGTATAGACAATTAGATGCTATTTAGTCAAAAACTGGGTCGATGGTAACTCGAATACGGTATTAAAAAAAAATGAAATAAATAAAAAGTAATGGTAGTCAATCTAAATTCAACGTTCCCGCGTGTTAAATATTCAATAACTTCCGGGGTTGTAGGTTGGGGCAAAGTCTGAAAACTGTTTTTAGAAGTACAAACCTTTGTTAACAATAATGTCTATCTAATTTTTCGAGCAATATCGGGCGATTTGCGAAATGGAACAAAAATTCTTGCAATTGTTTGAATCGTCGTAAAAACTATGTTTATTTATAAAAAAAAGATATCTCAACTTTCTTAGGATTCACTAGAAGTACTTGATTCTGCCCAGCATATGCCATTGTAGATTAGAAGCTACCGCATTATCAACATTTATATTTAAACTAACAAACAAATTACTAGATCCTGATATCCAATGTCTGGTGACTTAAATAATCCTCAAGCTTTGCATTTTACGAAATTAACTAATTGTATTTAATATGTTTCAACTTCATAAATGATACATCATCATTAACATTTTTTACTGGTTTCAGAAAATACAAATAATTTAAATGTATCGCGCGGTCAGTTTATATGGTTTTGCTACATTTCATTACAACCTACGGAATGCATCGACATACACGGTATAAGTCTTCGTTGAACAGTATCAACATTTGTATAAAAATATAGTTAATTTGGTGAACAACTTACATAATCAGTCATCTCGAATTTAATTTTAGGTCAATACACGCTGCACATTTTGAGTCCAGTTCAAGTGGCACATCCTTCCAGCAAGTATACCCACCGAATCCAGTGAATTTGTGGGAGTAAGTTTTTAAATTGCAACCGATTTAAACGGTCAGTTGGTAAGGTTTTGATTAATTTTCATCTAATCTATAGAATGAGATAATTTTCGGCCATAAGGTTTTAAGAATAGTTTCAACTGAAATTAAAAAAGCAAATCAGTCTTAAAATTACAACGATTAATGTCGTCAGTCTTTTCTCATTCTATTTTAGATTGGTTCGCAGTGTATTTTGAGCCCAGTTCCAAGCGTAAGTCTTTTAGTTAAATTCACCCAACAAATATAGGGGATTTGGGGTTGTCAGTTTTTAAATTGCAACCGACTTGAGTGGTCAGTTGGCATGCATTCGTTTCATTTTTGTAATATGTATCGAAGGAAACTACTTTCAGCCGTAAGATTCTTCGTTGAAATATTTTAAACCATTTTCACAAAATCAAGTCATTTTCAAAAATGCAAAAACTAACGTCGTCAGTCATCTCGAATTCTATTTTAGATTGGGTTGCTGCGTATTTTGAGCCGAGTTCCAAATGTAAGTCTTTTTTTTAAAATGCACCTCATAAATTAGTGACTTTGGCACCCGTCAGTTTTCGAAAAGCATCTACGTAGACCGGCAGTCAAGATTTTTTTTTTTACGGGCACGTATTATAAATCTCATCAAAATTTCAATTTTCTCGTTAAATGAAACGTCCAATTTCGCCACTTTGATTTAAATGTTCTTATATAAAGCAACGGCTTTTAAGCGACTGACCGGGGTTGTGTATTCAGGCGAGAATTATCTATAATTTAAAATGGTTTCTAGCTGTAAGTCCTTCCGTTAAATGAAACCAGCTGTAGCTCCTAGTCTTTTAAAACTAAACTATTCCAGATCCATGTAGTGAGGCAGTTTATATATTTAAATTTAAATTTATGATTTAAAAAAAATATTATTCAAGAATTATTATTATTGTTTATTCTAAAACTTTGTTCAAAAATAATGATTTTTATCACTGATGTTAAAAAAATAAAAATTGCGCTTGATAAAAATCATTAAATGATTTTAAAAAGTTTTGATCAGTTTGGTTTTTATTTTATTTTTTTTTAATTATCGATTTCAAACCTACATTGTATTTTTTTAAATACCGAAATTTAAAAAACTTGTTTAAAATACATTTTTACAAAAAATGCATTTTATTTTGTATTTAAATTGCACAAAATAAATTTCCGTATTGAGCAGTATGATTGATTATTGATATTTGAAGCTTTCGTTCTAAACTAAACAGAGATGATGGATATAAACAGAAGGTGCAAGAGGCTGTTTACTTCAGTACTGTTTAGTTTAGTACGTGAGTTTGAAATATGTTATAAATGCCTCCACCTGCGTCTGTAATTTAAGCACAATTTAATCGTGTAAATTGAATTAAAGTTATGAGTGTATTTTTGAACGAACCTCTATTTAAAATGAAAAGATTATTGACCATGAAAGAAACATGCGTATAGTTTTAAGCATATTGTTATGTAAAACAAATTAATTTATCTTTTTATTATACTTTAAATTATAATATGAAATAATTGTTTAAAAATAAGATTTGGTTTGACTTTATTTATTCACATTAAAAACCAAAATTCCATCGTATTTTTATTATATGATATATAAATTAGTATATCTTAGTATTATAATAAAATCTTTAACTTAGATATAATTAGATGTTACAAAAAATATAAATAAAACAAAAATTTAATTAAAAAAATATTTCTTCAGATTCTAATTCTTTCGAATTAAGAACAAGGAACTCCGTCTTTAATTATTTCAAATATTAAAAATGATTAGTTATTAAAAAATAATTTCATGGAATGGGTTTTTGGTAGCACAGAATAAACTCTTAACGTTCCATCTCCTCAAAAAATCATGATTTTGCTTATATATATATGCATATATTTTTTTAAGTATATATATGCAGTAGCTGAGTTAATTCTTTCTGACAAAGGAAGGGTTGAATTTGATTGCTTTTCAAAAACTTTGGAGACATTTAGCTTGAAAATATATCTATGTGTCGGGTTATCGATTTGAGGGTATAATTTAGAAATATAATTAATCGCTAGTTTTTTTTCTTCTATATAAAAGAGGGGGTTCTCCTGCTTCAGAACACAGACGGAGAAAGGAACTAGTCCGAAACGCGCCAGTCGCAATCCTAATAACAGAGTGAAGTACTGCATCAAGTTTATAAAGAATCCGAAAACGTGAAGAACCGTAAATAAAACACACATAGTCCAGCTTTGAGCATATTAATGTTCGCTACAGTTTTAGTAGGGTGGTCCTGTCCGGACTTAGATATCTTAACATAGAATGTTGTTTGGTTGCGGTCGTTTTTAAGTTTGAAATATGTGTTTCCCAGGTTACTCTTTGGTTAAATTCCATACTCATGAATCTGTGACTGTATACGGGAACAAGAAATTGTCTAAATAAATGTCAGAAGAGGGAGGAATATTTCACTTTCTACTGAAATGGAGACATTTGGTTTTTTTCTGAGGAGAATTTGAGACCAGTGGAAAGAGACCAGTTGTTTATTATACAGTGATGGAAAAAAGTATTTGCACATCGTGTTTTTATGAATAAATGAGTTCAAGGAACCGAAAAACTTCGCTTTC